TGGTCACTATAAATTTCCCTACCTGAGTATATGTTTGAAAAGTCAGTTTCCAAAACTGTTCAAAAGTAACTAAAACATACAGATAAAATGAATGTACAAAAACATTAACAGTGGTCAGTCTGGAAATAGCTGGATATTTTCTTAACTTGGAAAAGTCAGTTTGAGTTTCATAAAGGAAGAGGAACAAGGAAGGATTAGTTGTTGAAGATATAATAATATATCTAAAGTCTTAGAAAGCCTCTAAGAGTCAATCAAACATAGTGAATATAAAAACAGCACTGAAATCAAAACAAGCTGGGCATTGATGGGAGATGTCATTCTGGAAATATGTTTCTCTTATTGGTTAATGAATAAAGCACTGTTTGGCCAATAGGAAAGCAAGATAGGTGGGACTAGGAGACAAGGAGGAGAGAGGAGGAGGAGTAGGGAGGAGATTCAAGATGGAAGACAGAGAGAGTAGAACGCCAGCCCCTCTCTCCGGTAAGATAAGACCACGTGGAAGTACTTAGATTAATAGGAGTGGGTTAATATTTAGACAGAGATGGCCGATAAGAAACTAGTAACTGGCCAACAACATTATATCTACTATAGAGTCTCTGTGTGCTAAATGGGGCTGGCAAGGCAGTGAGCCCAGACCGGCAGGGAGAAAACTGCTCCTAACAGGGCATGGTAGTTCATTCCCACTATTAGAGAGGCTGAAGTGAGAGAGGATTGCTGATAACTACAAAATAGATTCAACTTATAATAGCAATGGAGAGGGGCTGGTGAGATTGCTCAGTGGGTAAAGCTGTATGGCCTGAGGCTGAGCCCAGGCCATACATGGTAGGAGTTGAGAACCAACTTCCAAAAATTCTTTTCTGAATTGTACCTGTGTGCCAACCCACCAAACCACATAGAATTAAGTAAATATAACCTAATTTTTTTTTAAAAAAAAAAATTAGCAATTGAAAAGCTGGCATTGCTCCCAAGAGAATGGGGAACATAGCCTGACCTCTGTCTATGTTTTCCTCTCACCACTTAATAACAGCCACAGCTTTGGTGAGTTGTCAAGTCTGCAACATACCTTGACACTGGTGGCCAGTTGTCTTTTGGGCAAGAGGAGATGGGGAGGCTTGAGTATGTACACAAGAAGTATGCAACAGCCTTAGAAAGGAAAGAAACTCTCCCACGGTTCATTAAATGGTATGACTAAAGTAGTTCATTAAAGTAGTACAACCAAAGGTAAAAAGCTTTTCTTAAGTAGAATCCAATTTTCAAAACTGGATTTTTCCCCCTCCCCAAAACAATCAATCTTTAAATTAAATGCAAATCTAAAAACATTGGGTGATTCCTTTTTGGCAATTTAATAAGATAACAGTGAGGGAAAATTGATCCTAAGAGATATTATACATATTTGTAACTGTAAAAGTAGAGACCAATAGAACAAAACAGCAAGTTATAATGTCTTACATGGTATTAATCCATGTGACTATTTGGAAATCAAGCAAAGGGAAGTATATTATCCAATAAACCAAAGTAATTCCTAGATGAGCTAAGACTTAATCAGACTGTGCCATACTTTGTTCAAGCCCAGGAGAGGCCTAGCCTTTTCTGCATGGAGACTGAGAATGAGTAGAAGGAGAGGGGTATAGATTGGGGGGGGGGGCGGGAATACACACCAGTCAGTATATAAAATAAATGAAAAAAAATGTTATTTTAAATAAAATATTAAAAAGTCTTAATAAGACAAATTGGTACCCACTAGAAAGATTTAAGTATCTAAAAAGAAATTTGTAACATACAGTATGCCAATGACATCCTTAACTGCCAGGAGCCTGTATCCTTACAGAGGGCTTGCGGAGAGCAGATAGGGAAGCTATTATGTGCACACCTACAGACAATGCACATAGGTAAACAGAGACGCTCACAGATGATGAGATAAATACATAAGGAGGATACTAGACTTAGAACTCAAGGATGGAAATCAAAAACAAGCATGGGATCCTCTACCCCAACACTAAAAATATTAAAGATTTCACAACAGCAGGTTTTGTAAGATCCTGCCATATACTCTTGGCAAGCATACAACTATGTAAGGAACCAAAAGGAGCATCATTCATTATACTTTTAAAAGGATGGCTATGGGGATGGAAAGATGGCTCAATAGCCAAAAATACTGGGTGCTCTGGCAGTGCACCATTGTCTGACTACCAGCACCCATTTGGCAGCTCACAAGTGTCTGCAACTCTAGTTCCAGAGGATCCAGTGCACTCCTGGTCCCTCTGAGCATGAGTTACACAGGTGTACAGGCAGGCAAAACACCCACACACATAGAAAGTTCAAAGGATGGGTATGAAGTGGAAGCATCTTGACACAATTTCATTTCACAACACATCTGTTCCATATGTAGTCCACAACTTAGAGAGGAAGACAATGGGACAGAAACATTCTGAAAATAAATACTGTTACAGTGTTTCTGGTTCTAGTTACCCACCCATTTCCTTTTATCTCCCAGCCACTGTCTCCTCATCTTCCTAGTGAAACTATTTTACATAGTATTTAGAAAATATTTTACAATTGCTACTCCTATAAAATTAAGAGCACAACTCTACAGTTACTTTTATAGGAAGTAAATGAGAAAGTACCACATATGTGACACATAGTAACATTTTGAAAAACATTAGTTGTTAATTAGGTGCTAAACAATTATCATCACAATCTACTACACAGATTCAAACTTTACCTCACCATGTACTTGTGAGGATCTTAAACAGTTCTACAGCATATGCTTTTCTTTGTATGTATCTCATATTAAAAAGTGCCTTAAACTCTTCTTTAATGTAGGCAAGACAATTTAAAACAAATGTTACTATAGGGAGAGTATAGTAATTGCTGCTCTAAGTGCATTTCCTGCTACAGGGGAAAATTAGTGGAAAATAGGCATCATTATACTGAACAGGGAGGGCTGACCTCACTTAGCAAAGGCCACAGTTTCCCAAGGCCTATGCTCAACTCAATTATCACTGTGAGGAGGTGTTTTCTTGTCAATTCTAATGACCCCAGGACTCAAGTGCTGATTAAACCCCTCAGTTAAATCAAAGCATAGCAGCTTGGTCTTCCTGAGGGGAAACAACTCTTCCTGAATGTTAGTCTGCTTCCTTTCTTCAAGAACATCCAACAGGGCATGTGATCAGAAAATGCCAAATGCCAAATAGCATGAATAACTGAAGCTATTTTTCATCTATTATCCACATTTTCCACTTTCCTGGCCCCTTATCACATTGTCTATTATAACAACACTGAAAAAAGGAAGATGGCAAAGTAACTCCTTTCAGAACAGAGAAATTAACCCTGTCATGTAGCATGTAGTCAGAACTTAAGGCAGATGCTGCTACTCTCACCTTGGTAGGTTTTGTTTTCCCTCTCATTCTTCACTAGCTTTTTGATGTCTCCCGTGGATCTCATGCCTACCTCTGTAAGTGTCCCTTTTACATTCACTACATTTGTACATCCTAACTCTCCTATCTGTTCTCCCAAAGTAAGAAAAACACCTTTCTTTTCAGTTTTCCAATCTACCGCAAAGTTCCCAGGAGAAAAGCTACTGGTAGGTACTATAAAATGTTTTGTGGTAAGTATGTAAATGCATTATCGTAACACTCTACATAGAGGCCTGCATTAGAATTGGAAATGGCTGCACTCAGTCTTGGTGATGCATTCGGTGGTTCTGGCGCTTCATAGGTAAGCATCAGTTTCCTCATTTACAAAAGGGCATTACTCGGTCTACCACTGTACTCAGTTTCCCAAACAAGACAATTAGTGTAAAAAGCATTTGTTGTTATGGCTCTTCAAATGGGTTATGATCTGTCAATCAAATTTCTAAATTTCAATTTGAACAGAGGTATATTTAAATCAATATGTTTACATGCTTTTTCCTAAAAAGAGAAAGAAAAGCCAGAAGATGTGGTTATTAAATGAAAATCTCAGTGACAGGCATGAAACGCCGCCCTGTGAGTTACTGGTCAGCAAAGTCCTAGAACTACCCACAGCAACACAGGCTATCACCATTCCTCTTGGTTGATCGCCATAACTAGATGGTAAGACCCTATTGCTGAAGATAATTCAGTCTCAGGACATAGAGAAATCAACCTTGATTAACAGGAAATTATCCCCCTTTTAGATAGCTTACAAAATACCAGAAGGTGCTATGCTGCCTATCGGGGGAGAAAGACAAAGATGGTCTCATCCAGTGCTAGACCCTGCATGCTACAATGCTGGCCTGCCTGGCAAAATGTGCTTGATGCATGTCCTGACAGGTACAGAAGTAACCAATCACTTTCTGGTTGGGTATGAGGCCTCCTCCACAGGGGGGATTTCATGCATGGTTCTAGACATCTGGTCAGAAGCCCATGACTACTAAGGTTATAGGCCCTAAAAGCAAACTTATTATTTAAATGATCATGTTGTCTAATTGCCTTTTAAATATTTATGTTTATACCACAGATCTGTGTTGTTTTTAACTTCAGTCAGAGAAGATAACTTTTATAATCAAAATTTCAATACAGATGCACCCTTGGCAGAGGATTACTGGCAGTTGGTGGCTACTAAAGAAGAGGAGTTGCTCTCCTTTGAGAATATGGCATGCTGATAGGTTGCCCCCACCTCCCAAGGATGGCCAACACACTGGTAAAACTAGGCAACAATAATTGAACTCAGGATGTAATTTATGACAACTACTTTTTAAAAAAGACACAGTTGGAAAGGAGTTAAGGAGTTGGGGCACTTGAAGGAGCTGGAAAGAGGTAATGATGGATGGATATGATCAAAACACATTGTATAAACATGCAACTTTCACTTTTTTTTTTTTTTTAAAGAAAGAAAAGCCACAAGCAGCCAGTAAGATACCAGTTGATAATATGTTCTCACCAAGTATAATGCTTACATCTTAACAAAAAAGGTCAGTGTTAACTGTGTCATGCCCTCTGATCCTAGAATTTGATGTAGGATGCCAGGGCATTTCTTACCAGGTTCTGGAAGATCTAATTTTGCCCGTTTTAGTTCTGACATAGAAACCTGAAGTTGCTCTATTACAAAATCATCCTCGAAGAAAAAGTTCTTGGCGAGAGTCTCCTGAAGAAATTCTACAAGTTCTTCCATAGACAATTTCATTAGATGTTCTAGGAAAGGATGAGAGAATGCAAATGCCAGTCAACAGTTCTATTTAGGTGGAAATATATATATATATATATATATATATATATATATATATACACACACACACACACACACACACACACACACACACACACACACTCTATTTGAGTGTAGTGAGTTTTAAAAGAAAGTATTAACATGGACCCTAGACTGATAGCTGGGAAACCAGCATAGAACCAACCCAGACCCCCTGAATATGGGTGTCAATTAGAAGGCCTGAGTAACCTATGCGCCCCTGGTAGTGCATCAGTATTTATCCCTAGTATACAAATGGACTTTGGGAGCCCTTTCCACACTGAGGGATACTCTCTCAGCCTAGACACATGGGGTAAAGCCTAGGCCCAGCTCCAAATGAAATGACAAACTTTGAAGAACCCCTATGGAAGGCCTCACCCTCCCTGAGGGTGGGGATGGGATATGGAGTTGGGGGTGGGGCAGGGGAGGAGGGGAGGGAGAGGGAACTGGGATTGACATGTAAAACAAGCTTGTTTCAAATTTAAATTTATAATTTAAAAAAATTTTAAATTTATAATTTAAAAAAATTTTAAAAAGAGAGTATTAAAAGGATATACACACAACTTACATTTGGCACTGTGAGCACCATTAAAACCCAGCAGGATAGTATTTTGACATTAGAAAAAGCAGGCTGATCTTATTAGGAGGAAATACAGAAAGCTGTACCCGATCTCAAGTATTTCCTCACTAGTTTAAAAGTAACTGTGTCTGGGCATTAACACTTACCTACAACAAGAGCTCCTAGGAAGTCAATAAATGCTTATTTATCTCATTTATTGGCTGGAACTTTAACTCAGACTGACAAGTCTTCTTTAACTAACACAGTGTTACCTTACAAGTAGATGTGTTATGTTCATCTATATGTGTGGGCATCAACTCACAATAGAAGGTACACTGTCTGAGCTACTTATATTTCCTGAATTGTTCAAAAGGATGCAAATGCTCTCTCTCTCAACTATTATTACTAGTGATATTAACTGAGCAGTATGTATTATTGTTCATTTGAGTCCAATCATGTGCATTTACATTGTTTTTTATTTTTTATTTTTTCCATTTAAAACCACTATGTGATGAATCTCTAGCAACACTAGTTTTAAGCAATCAGGAGGAAATAAAAAGAAGAGACTGTCTCTGACTAGGGTCAGTTGTTAAGGTACCCAGACATACTATTCTTCTGTTTTGTTATCTTTTTTTTTTTTTTTTTTCCTAGCAAGTGACATACTGTAAAACCTTCTGGCACACTACACAGTGTTTTAATATAGTCTCAATACTGTGGAATGATTAAACCAATGTGATTATTAAATCCAATCCAATCGCACTTACTTTTGTGAGAAAATCATTTAAAATCTACTTTCTTAGTATCTTTCAGTATGTTATACATAACTACTAACTGTGCTCACTAATCCACATAGTACATCTCTAAAATTTATCCTGCCATCTAGTAAAACTTGGTAGCCTGAGAGCAACATCTCTCAGTGGCCCCTGTTCCTCAACATTTACTTCTTCAGATGGTGGTACAGGAAACTCACTGAAGATGTAAGCTTTGCTTCCTGAACAGTCTAATGATACACTGGCAAGTAAAGTAATTGCTATGCTCAGAGTTTATTTACAAAAGATAAAGAGTCATACCAAGTAAAATGATTTATGAGGGAAATGAGAGTTATAAAGAAATAGAACATTATGCTTCCATTTTTTCAGTTTAATTAAGATATACTTTAAAGCATATTTTGATCTATTTATAACATCTAACAAGAGTAATAACATAAAGAAAGAAGAGAGAAGGAGAGAAGAAGAAAGAGAAAGGGCTTTCATCCAGTAATGACACAAACGGACTCTGGGAGGGAAATGTGTTGCCAATGCTTGCTTTAGGATTGGCTCGCATGCTGGGCCATAACTACATCATTTCTGACAGCTTTCCTGGAAAAGCACAGACAGTGAGGTCTCCTCATAGGTGAAGTGTGGTTAATGTGGCACTGATGTGTTCAGTGTTCAAGTCAGTGACCAAGTAATCTCAATGAAAGCATTGAGTATGGCCAGGAACAGTAAGGATATAATCTACACACTTGACTCCACGCTCTCAACTGGTTTATGACTTAGTCAGAAGGCCAAACATCATTCAAGAATGATGTAAGAGAGTGGGGTACACACAAATATGCATGTACATAACATTGATATTCTAGCCTGCCCATGGCCCACATCTCTACAGAGATACAAGAGGAGTCACAAGGCTCAAGGTTAAAATGAAAATAATAGAAAAGCTCTCATTTCCTGAACTTTAAGGCCCAACACATCATATCCACAGAGCCCCTGAGATACTGCAACTGAAGACTAAGATGCCTTTAGTTTTTGTTTTGAAAATCTTGCTGCATTTATGCAGTGACAGGCACTTAATGAACTTGTCCCAGAGGCCATGGCAGTCAAATCCCATCCAGAGCTTGAAACTGGATGCATTTTGTTTTAGAGAAAGAAACAGTAACAGAAAATTTTTTTCCAGCCCACTCAGGTAGGAGGCCTGGTTTCTTGCTCTCTCTGCCTTATTACAAACCTGAGACTCAGGCCAACTAGAAGAACAAGGGTCACAATGGAAACCAATGCAAAAATAATATTATTAGTAACATGAAAAATCCTACTGTTTAAGTGTGAAAATGAAACTGACAAAGGAGAAAGGACCCCAGACCTTCTTATATAATATGTGTCTAGTCCCAAGAATCAGGAATTCCCTGATGATCGTCAAGAGAAATTTAAAAACTAGCAGTAGTTCTCAAAACCACTAAAAATAGCATGAGTTAGCGGGAGCCCAAGTAAAATAAGTCTTATTTTTGTAAAATGTTTCCTTACTTCTGTGTAATTTCAAGATCGTGTAAGACATGGCAGTAAGAACTCGCTCTCCTTCAAAGATATAGATGTCCCATATCCTGAGGTTCAGTGTGAAGGGAGTCTACGACAAAGAACAAAGCAGAGCAATATACCGTTAGTGCTTCCCTTACCCTGGGCAGGGCGTGTACTTTCCTAATTGAGGTTTATAAAACGTACTTACTCGATCAAGAAAACACTGAAAAAACCATTTCATTGTATAAAAACTTGTGTAGATTTCTTGAGAATCCTGAAAAACAAAGATCTCATAATTTCTGCATTGTAGCAAACAAAAGAACAATAGTAAGGTGGTTGTCAAAGGTAAGCACATAAACATCACATTACAAATATTTTCATACTTTCTGTTTTCCTATTCTTATTTTGAATCTCCAAATTTAACTAATAAGAATTATCACAGGGGTCGTGTCACCATCACAGGACTGTGACACAGTCATTAGTATATTTTGCAGTGAACTGCGTCATTGTGCCATTACATTTTATAGTAAAGCATGCCTGTGCTTCATCAGGAAGCTTCTTCTAATGCCTAAAATGTAAGGTAGGAATTACACATTTGTACGGTTTTTATTAGTAATATTTATCAGCTTCACAGAAGCAATCTGAACCTATGAATTAGGACTATGGTAGTCTATTAATACTAAATTTTACATCCAATGTTCTTCAAACAATTGAAAATTATGACTACACAGTGAGCTAACTAGGAACAGGGAACCCAGGCTGAATTTAATTAATTAGTGCATCTTTATTCTCAGTATAGGTGGCTGTATATCAGTCACACATCTACCTACCAAGTGTTGCTTAAGTTTGGACAGAAATTTATTCAGAATTTTTTCATGATGTTCTTGAAATCTCAAGAGTTTAGGAAAACCTTGAACAAAAAAGCCTAGAACACAAACATAAAAACAGAACTTCAGAGAGAGTACCAACAAAACCCCTAACTTAAAATGTAACACATTGCATTTCTAGCCGTCAAAATAAAAAGAACCTCCCTAGTGACCAGGGTGTTTCTCTTCCCCATCATGGAAATAACTTCATATGAACTTTGGATAGTAAAACTTTTAGCTAGTACTTGTTTGCTAACTACCACCTTTACTTTGTAGAACTGATAAAGAGGAAAACACATTTCTAAATTAGGAGGAAAACTTTTAACAGCAAAAGACAATGGAAACTGAACCCATTTATCAGCCTCCTTTTCCAGTGCTGGCTGTAACTTCACAAGCTGTCCCGTCTTGACAACCATTCTGTTCTACTGGTAATGCCTTTCACATCTTACTATATTTTTCAAGTATACACTAACAATTTTTTTTTTTTACTGTGTCTCTAAATTTTAAAAAAATCACTTTTAAATTCTTTTCAAAAGCTATAACAACAGCTAAAACATGCAGGTACTTTAAATTATACCAAAACGTAAACGTAATAATACATTGTAATCTGTAGGATTTCTAGGAAGGAACTAATTGTAAACGGTAAATTAGTAATAATTTGCATATTTAGCTCACTGAATTTAGAACTATTTTTATTCATTAGTTCCTTTTCAGCTATTTAAACAATCCATTTCAGAGCATATGCTCAATGGATTTTATTTCTGCAATTAGTATTTTCAAACCTAGTTTTTCTAAGCACATATGGGAGATTTTAATTTGGTTTTTCTAAAATCCCAGGGAAAGGTATGGCATACACATTCTCCTTGGGTATTCATTATTGACAATTGCTTATAAACATTAAGTTGTCTTTCAGATTTAATGAAACCTATTTTACTTTAATTTAGTCTCACATGTTTATTTGATCTGAGAGTCCATTAATTCCTCCATATAACATGTAATTTAAAAAGGAATGGTTTTCTGAACATATCAGCAAGTATAATGAAAGGTCCTAATATACTGAATTAGGAAATTTTCTAACAAAAACCCTTAACAAAATGCATATACAGTTTTGTAAATGTAACTTGGTATTGGTTAATACAACTCACAAAATTCACATTTGTGATTTCTGTGGAAGTGAAGCCAAAGCAAAAAAACAATGGATCCAGTGTGCTTCAAGGACCCAGGGACACAGCAAGGAAACACTGCACAAAGTCTGTGTTCAGTGTTGAAGAGGTGTGTACAAATTCCAAAGATTCTATTCCTCACTTAGTAATAGTTCTGTTTTGTTTACAATAAAACGATTTCATTTAAAAATCTTTCTCTCCATTGGAGCCACTTTCATGGTCAATTAGAAATGGGAGACAGAAACAGAAGGAAAAAAAACTTATTTATTTATTTATTTTTAAGTCAATGTCCTTCAGTAAGGACCAGCTTAAACATGCGATGATTGTCTAACATTTCTTTTCAGTGACATCCTGGGCTCAGTATTTTAAATTGTTGTCTGCCCAGTTCTAGGTTGATCCCATACACTTACAAATGGTAAACTTTTACACAGAAAATACAAAAAGCAGAGGTAACCTCCAGTCACAAAACTGCACAGGTCTACAGACAAATTATGCTACAAGTACAAAGTCACCCATTAAAAACCTCCTAAACTATGCTGTAGGAACAAATGATAGGGCTTTAAAATTAACACTGTTTAAAGACTAGACAGTGGCAGCTGAAGCTAAGTCAGCACAAAAGGTTTAAAAGAAAATACAATTTTCTAAAACCAGATGGAAACATCACCACACAATTAACCTATCACCAAGCAGGAAACACTCCACTATGTTCCAGGATGGCTCAGCAACACCATCACACAGGGAGCCCAGAGAAAGACCAATGATAATGATGGGCTCTTTTTGTCAAGATCCTTTTCAGTTCTACAGTTTACTACATGATAACTTGGTACAATAGCATATCTCACTTCTGGAGTCCATTTAAGGCATTCCAAGTACCCAGAATCAGTTACCATACAGATAGCTGTTAAAATCACTATCGAGGAACATGGGGAGTAAGACAAAAGCATATACATATGAGCACCCTTCTTTAAAAAGGTAGCCTGGGCAGGGTGGTGGTGGCATACACCTTTAATTCCAACACACAGGAGGTGGAGGCAGGTAGATCTCTGTGAGTTCAAGGCCAGTCTGGTTTACAAAGCTACACAGAGAAACCCTATCTCAAAAAAACAAATAAGTAAATAAAAAGTTAGCCTGTCAAATTTACTATATAATAAGGCTATGGAGGACCCTAATTTTCAAATATTTAAATGAGTATTCTCTGAATAAACATAAATACTCACACAGTGAACCTAAGTGGTTTGTTCTTAGAGTAACTAATACTGTCTTTATGTAGCTGATGCTGGGCATTGATGTCAGGGCCTTGTGTATTCTAGACAGGTGCTCTATCACTGAGTGACAACCTCAGCTATTCAGTTTGTCTGAAATCTACTATTACCACATAGATGGCACTAGAAACAAAACAGCACATAATCCTGCATTATGGGAAATATCACTTTCACTCCTAAGACAAGTTGCAAAATGCAAACTCTGAAATAAAGTTTAGTGCATTTTCTTGGCAGATATAAGGAAAAAGCATTAAACTCAATCTGTTAATTTAAAAACAAAAAATTACATGTTTTGTGAAAATACTAATAACCAAGAGGTCAAAACATGTTATTAGCCTTTTTCTTAAATGGGATGAAATGTAAGGCTCAAAGAACTAAAATATGAAGCTACTTAATTATTATGTAGTCTTTCTTTAAATACCCAAATGCCCTTTCTTGATTAATATTCTTTAAAAACGCTATATATCAATGAGCACCCGATGAGAAACAGCATTTCATTAGAACAGTAAGTATTTTGGCCAAAAGGTTATCTCTTATTTTTCTTAATACAAGATCTCCACACCTAAATTAATTTTTTTGACTGAGGGCAAACAAGAAAAGAATTTTAAAATGCCAGCAATACACTTTGAGGAAAAGGCAAAAAAATCTCAATGTGAATAGAAATGGTTAATAATGAAAAATCAAAGAAGAAACCAGTAATTTTTAAAAAAAAAAAAAAAATAACAAGGAATTAGTAATAACCAAATTAACTAAATAACTGATTTATTAAATAAGGTCTGGGATTAACATCTGCTGTACTTAATTCATCAAGAATCAGTTTGCTTTCCTCCTTGCTTGTTTATACATATATACATACACATAATATACACACACACACACACAGGCACGCACGCACACACGCACACGCGCACGTGAGGCTTTCTTACCATGCATAGCATGTTTGGGGCCTGAGAAGAGTTTGACCAAGGCCCAGAAGGCATCTTCCTCGTTCATGTACATGAGGAGCAGGGCTGTAATCTGGCTCATGCCTTGACAGTATCCTACTTCCTACGGAGAAATGAAAACAGAGACTGGGAGCTTTAAAATCAAATCCCATGAACACATAGAAGAGAAAGGTTAATCTATAAAATACCAGAAAATGCCTAGATACATTACAGGGGAATTCTAGAGATAATCGTTGCAATATCTACAGCATCAGGGCACACACTATATAAAAATAAAACTGAGCTCAAGAGTAAACAGGTGTGGGGAAAGACTCAAGCTGCATTTAAAAAAATTGTTTTGTATGTGATACTGCACATATTCATTTTACTGAGAATATGGTTCTCAGATACTGGTAAATTGTTCCCCAAACCTCAGTTTCATGTCTTGTCACCTCTGTGACTGTTTCTGAAGCTGTACGGTTTAGTTGTAATCTACTCCTCATGGACCTCCCACAGGTGATAAACTCAGATACTGCAACAGAATCTGCCAGGAGTAATGTAGTCAGTAGGCCACCGCACCTTTCCTACCTTGCCATGCCTATTCTTTCTTACATGCTTAAAAAAGAAAACCAAAACCCACAAAAATAGAACGAAATGAAACAGTCTGAAGGGAAAGGAAAAGTGAGGCTCACGGGCATCTTATAGTTATGTCTACATTTTCCTACTTCCAAATAAACTCTAAGGCCCTTAGGTCAACATGGGAGCTATAAAAACATCAGAGCTAACAGGGACTTGTGTAGACCAAGAAAAAAATGACCTACAAGTGCCATGTTCCTCAGAATGCAATTCAAAGAACTAGGCAGGCATGCCCCAACTTACCGTATTATAGATAGAATATGCCGCAAGAACATGGAATAAGGATTGTTGCCTAGAGAATTGAAAATTTATATTAAAATATTTTACCTAGTTTTAAAGAATTTAATTTTTAAAATCACAAACTTAAAAAGCAGTATGACTAAAAACAATCCAGACAAAATTACTTATCGAGTTTTTTGTTTTGTTTTGTTTTTAAAGCACTCTAAGTTCAAATTGAAGCAGAGTTCTCAAAAGTTTAAATTTGAGACTATATATTTATTATTTATTATATATATTACTATATATTTAGATAGAAAGATTTCATATGGAAAGTGTCACGCTTTGCTGAGTTTAAGTCCATTTCCTTCTTTCATTCAACTCTCTTACTTTGAAGACACTGGTGGAACAGCATGTGGTGGCCTCTTGAAGACTCTTCTAGCAGCAGCTAAGTGTAGGAAGTGACATCCTGGGATGTCTTCCCCTAAGAAGCTCAACAGCCCCATCCTAAGAGTAGGTGAGAGGAGGGAGGAGGGCTACACTCTCTACATTCCTAACTCACCACTGCAGTCTGCTGCTTCAGTCTTTGCTGACTCAGAGACCTCACTTAGAACAGAACTGGCCTGGTGGTGCATATCTATGATCCCAGTACCCAGGGGCTAAGGCAGGAGGGTCATGAGTTCTAAGACATTCTGCTATATAGTGAGACCCTACCTCAAAAAAAAAAAAAAAAAAAAAAAACCAAAGCAGGACAAAACAGAAAAGAGGAATGAGCCTGTAGGGAGACACAATGATTCCATCAAGCTGCAAGAGAAACCACCACCCCACTGCTTTGGGTTCCTTAATGTTACTTTTGGGCTCACGAGGCAAAGGGGTGACTACATTGGTCAGAGTGACTATAAGAGAAGTTGCTGCTACTACCTAAAGGGCACAAAGAAATCACATCTGAAATAAAGGGGATAATTTTGGAACTTCTTAGTATGTACTAAGTACATACAAAAAATATATGTGTAAAGAAAACTATAGAAAACTACAGCAGGATAATTTAGGGAGACTGCTAATGGTCCAGATGTTTCAGGACTGAAGCCCTAAGCCCTGTGATACAGCTGAGGTACTTGAGTGACTAACAATGGAAAGTGTATTTATAAATACCATGAGACATGGCCAGCCATAGGGATGTCTGAGGTAATTACTAGCACTTTTCCCTTATACTTTGGTATGGATGTCTATATATTAGTATTTTCTTTCTCTTAACATCTTACATTAGAAGTACTAATAGGTAACTCTATACAACAGTACTTATGCATGATTACAAGCAAAGGACTTGGAATCTACTTGTTGACAAAGAGTTAATGTGTTTTCAGCTATAAGCAAAAGAGTTGTATCATGCTAGAGACATGTATGATTTGTTATGGCCTCACATGGAAATCAGAATGGTTTAAAGAAATGTGTGTGAGCAGCATGTTGACAAGGACAAGCTGCGATGGTCAACTATAACAGCAGTAAGGTTACAATTCCCTCATTATTGAAGTACTGACCTGGCTGTTGCTGTCTGTCAAGTGTTTTACAGATGTGATTAAATCCATTATCTGCTGAATTTGAGTTGGGGAAATTATAAGAGATCCAAACAGACAGAACCATGTGCTTCTAGCCTGCCCTTCCTGGTCAAGCCAATCTTAATACAGATCTCCTATAGCTTCTGCTTTACTGGTTGGATCCTAAATGATATAACGGTTGGTACAACAGTGCCTTTTCATTCATACCCTCTGACACAGTGTAGGAATGCAGTAAGGACAAATGCTCTGTCTACATCATACATTAGTTTCTCATTTAACTCATTTTCTTTCTTTTAAGTTCCATTTATTCATGAGGTCATAGAGACATAAACTTATTATAGTTTTCAAACATATAAAAGCTTTCACATCTACAAATGGCCTCAAACCTTAGCCACCCTAGTGTCCACAAAATACTTTTAAGAATTTTATAATCATAAAATAATCCCTTGCCAATTTTATAGCCTGTACTATGTCAGTGTTTTAAAATGTTAAATTAAGTTAAACCCCCGTTTCAGTCAACATGGACTCAAATGATCTGCAAAAACATTTAGGATTTAAACGAAGATTATAGTTCAAACAAAACATTCTAAAAGTACAGTTTACCTTAAAACCTTCAATAAAGACCATATTTTATACATGCTATCTACATTTCATAATATTAAACTTTACTTACTTAACACCGTATCTGTCTCTAAACATAATATGGTCCCTAAATGTGCGGTTCACGTCAAGGTCTATTTGTCTGATATCAGGTGAACAACCCCGTGCTCTGTGTTTTAATTTCTGAAGAAGAAAAAGGGGGAGAAGAAAACACATTTTTATGAAAATACTTGTTGGAAGTCTATGTTAAATAGCAAAATGATTCTCATTTAAAAAAAAAAAAAACAACTTATGTATGTATCAGCAGAGGGTAGGGCTAGGAAAATCATTCCCATGGTTTAAAGAAGATCTGGGCAATATAAAAAGATACAAAAAGAAAACCTTCCATCCCTCTATGCCCCCATCTACTCTGCTCATGGCCCTTTTCCTCCCTTCCTTTCTCTTCTATGGTATCAACAGTGATATTTAGGTCAGGGAATGTTTGGAGTTTGTAGGACTAAGATGACTGAGTGGCTCACTCTACAAGGAATTCTCTTTCTCTCTTGCTCAATTTTTCTTCTTTTCTTGGAATGAGTGGCTGCTTCTTGATTTGCTTCACTTTCTATATCCTTGTAGAAAAGAAATTCAAATTCAACACCAACTCTGAAACATGGTGTAGAATTCTCTAAACATCCTAGCAAACACTGACCAGTTTCTTTGCTTTGCATCTTGGCCTGGAACTTGTAGCTGGCCTGGAACTCACTACATAGACAAAGCTGACCTTGAACTCAACAGAGATCTATCTGCCTGCTACTGCCTTCCAAGCACTGGGATTAAAGACATGCACTACAAAGCCATGTCTAGAGGTCAACTTCTTAAACTTTGTCCCAAAGCAGCCAGCCATGTTTCCACTTGTGTGGTTTGTCCTTGGGCTACTGCCTCTGGTCTTGGAGCTTCCTTCACCATCTACTGACACTTCCTTAGCTTTGAGCCCACATTTCCAATTCCCGGCTCTTGGTTTACAGACTACATCCTGCAACTCTGTGAATGGGCACCATAAAAGGTAAAGGTTTGGAAACCTTGAATATATGGTGACTTACTCTTCAAAGACTGTGGAAGCTGCTCAAGAATTCTAAATCAAAAGTACTTCTGCTCAAAAGGCACTGCCTTACCATTTCCTGGCTTCTTGGGCTGCCACTGGAATCCATACTCTTTACGTATCTGTTTGGAAGTTGCCCATTTCTTCCTTGCTTTGGATCTATTTTCAACCACAGACTTAGGCACTTTCACATCTCTCATGTCTACAAAACTGTCTTTAATAATTCCCTGTCAATTTCCTCTTCCTCCCCTGCCATGATCCCATCTTCTTTCTGGAGCTTGGTTATTACAATGTGAGATCTCCTAAGAATCAGCTCATTTTCTTTCTTCTCTATTAGTGCTCATATCTATGCCTTTAAATTTTATTTTTCTGAAAATTTTCAATTATTTTCAATTAAGTTTTTCATTTCTATTTTTTGTATTCTTAAGGTCTTTTGTTGTTACAGAATGCTTCTTTTTATAGCTTCCTATACTTGTTTTATGGATGCAATATCGATTTCATTTCTCTGAAGATATTAACAACAATCTTTCAGGTTTTCTTCTTAGTCTACGGTCTGTTTCTTACAAGTGTATTTTTCCACTTCTTTTGTCTCCAATTTAAGTCCCTTTCCTCAAATGACTACTAATATCTTGTCATCTGTTTTTGCTTGAAAGTAAGGCATTAAACAAAGCTGTGTACCCAGTCGGGGCTTCACAACAGTGGGCAGTGATGTCCCTCTAGAGTGGGGTGTAACAGGGTAGTTGCAGGGCAGCCACTAGAACCCTAGGTCTTTGGGTTTATGTTCTTGCACTGGTCACATATCCGAGAATTTCTTCCCAGCTCCTGTTGGGACCACAGGCACCTGATTGCTGGTGTTCTTAGGGAAATGCTAACTGTCCAAAATTTGGGGTATTATATTGCCCTGCACAGCTAGGATAGCTGCTGCTTCACCTTCTCCCAGTAGGAGACTTCTAGGTCTAGGTCTGCGCTGGAGGAGACTTGGGACTCGCTCCAACTGCTTCTCCCACAGACTTTCAACCACTTCAGTGTTCAGCTTCACCTTTACTTCCAGAGGCACCTGTGGGTGGCAATTACCAAGTCCTCTGGAGAGTTAAGATAAAAGTCATGTGACCTCTTCAGTTTCCCACTACCAGCACAGGACTCAGCTTCCTCAGAGATGCTTTGTTTACTCTGCCTGTCTGCACTCTATGGTCCAAAGTGTGGCAGACAGTACTTCTTCCATTTTCTTATTCCTTACAGGGTTGCCTTTTTAAAGACTCTGCTATTCGCAGAAATGTTATTCATGTTTTCAAGGGTTTACAAGCTAATGAAAAAGAAGCATTGAAACAAACCCAACACCATCCTCCCCCATAGAGGTGAGCAGACTCTACAGCTACCTGAGACTGAGTGATCTATAGTCCAAAGTATCACAGTGATCCATAGAGGAATGTTTTCATTACCAGAAAGAGATCTAATGAGACTATAAGCCAAGGCAGTGGCAGAGAGCAAATAGTGAGGTGAAAGGTCAGCAGTGTCCCTGTGGGGTTCCTCCCACTCCCCCAACCCCTGAGCCAGGCCATGCTGTGAAGGTTTTGTAACCATGGTGGATGGACCTTCTGCTATTTTAAGGTATGCTGCTAAATTCAAGAAAGACACAAACGTGATATACTTAAATGAAAACAAGAAACACTGGCTCAGAGCCAGAGCTAACTGACTGGATTTTAAAATCTGTTTCTTCTTTGCTCAACCTGGGTGAGAAGTTACCAACCCTTACTCTTACTTAGGCTCAGGTTCCTGGTCTGTTAAATGAAATGATGATGTTACAGAAAACAGTAGTAAAACCTGCCTGGTGCTCTAATGGCAAGAATTAAGTAAAATAATCCCTGTAGAGTACTCAGATAATGTCCACAAATTATCCTAACAAGGTCAACACTCCTCAAGGTGAAGTACAGAAGATGTTTCTAGAATACAGTCATATGATGTTTCAAACTAAAACCAGCCAGATCCCAGCTGGAGAGAGGGAATCAAAAAGGGCATTCCAAAGTACTTTGAAAACCCAACCCTCTATTTCTTCCCCTTCACACCTTCCAGTCCATGGAGACTTACTTCATAATTTCAACTCAGGCTTTTGTTTTGTTGTGTAAATGCCATGTACTATCCAGAATGTAAGTATCTCTTTACAGACTTGTGTCCTTTCTGAAGCGACAGTTCTCCCCAAAGCACCCGTTTGTCTTTGTGTGCTGTGTAACACCAAGCAGAACTCTGCTCTAAGAAGGGACACAGAGGTCCTCAGGTGAAGCTAAGGCTTGAATGTGTATAACATGGCAGGCTCCATCTGAAAACACCTTGGTAGATAAAGCGAGGAAGAGCCAGTTCATAAAGCTGAGCAGACAGAAACATATGCCACTTTTGTAGAGGGACAAGGAAAGAGTGGTCAGGAAAAGAAGACATTATTAAATGATGTCATGAGGGGAATTAAATGATCATTGTAATGTTTGAAGATATCAAACTGAATTTTGAACCCGGGAGCTCTAACACTCATTTGTTTTTTGTTATTGGGTTACTAAGCCACTCTCTTATTAATGAGTCACGGGATGACTTTATATAGGAAAACACACACACACACACACACACACACACACACACACACACACACACACACACACACACACACACACGGTTGAAGAATGTCCCTCAAAGTTCATCCAGGACCAGTACATGTGGCCTTATTTGGAAACAGAGACTCTGAAGACACCATTAAGCTCAGATGACACTGTGTGCATTACAATGACACTGAAATCCAATGCCTGGCAACCTTTTCAGGGAAGAGACACACAGACACATGTGACACATGACATGGGATACAGAAGAGCTAAGGCGTTGTAAGACAAGGACACCAACTGGCTGGGTTGAAATTGATTTTTCTTTCTTTTTTTTTTCCCATGTGTTCTGTTGTGATTCATTCTATTTAAATACATTTACTGTGTATTTTTACTTTAAAATGTAGTACTTTAAAACCTATGAATCTAAGAATCTTAAATATAAAGTTCTTATTCTTTTCAAAGGTTAACATAAACTTAGGTTTAGAAACAGTATGGCTGAATGATAGATAGAGGAGGTATATTTAATCATTATGCAATTTAAGGAAAAAATCCATCACTCAGTCAAGTTTAACTTTTTAATTCATACATAATAAAATGAAGACAGCAAATTATCTTGTGAACAAATTTCCCCTCAGCCTTACTGAACATCATATGCGGGAAGGTGTTTGATAGGATTGCCTTCCCTGTAAACTCTAAACATGATGTAGATCTTCTCATTAGTAGTAAATATGCCTCAGCACTAATGGACCACTGTACTGTCAGAGTCTAATGATACTGGCTGAGACAGAGCACTTGATCTAAATCTGAGTAGACTGGCACTAACAAAACAAAACAAAACAGTACGCAGTGACAATAGAATATCACATCATCTTAAAAACAAAAAAAATTGTTTTGCATTTTAACTTCAAAGGCAATAGTTAGTTTAGCTACTCACACTATAAAGGTCTCTTGTTTCTTCTTTCATTTTAGGGATCTCAAGAAGAAGAGCCCAGACTTCACCTCGGAGCTGGAGTGGAATTCCTTTGTAAATTCGTCTATGAAACTGATTAAAAGAGAAGGAAACCAAAGAGGATTACAAACTAACAAAAGCTTAGATAGTCCCTTCCACTGACCCACTGTCAGTTTTTATTCAGTTTTTTGTCAGTTTTTATTCAGACATACATGACCATTAATTATAAACTTTAATTAGTCAATATGATTAGGTTCTGTTACTTCTATTTTTCAAAGATCCTAAAAGGGAAACATAATCACAGAAAGAAAATATATAAACTACCAAAAGAAAATAGGAAAAACAGCAGTGCCAAGAACACTTGGTAATCGGTATGCTTGACTATTACAGAAGGGTCCCTTAGAGTTGTGTGAGCAGAGCCAATGCTCTTAGGTAAACTGTGAACATCTTTCTTACACACTTCCTTATTATACGCTAGCCTTTTAGCAAATAATAGAAGGTGATCCAAATAGGAGAAAGTAGCCTTGTATCAAAAGCACCCTTGTGAGTACAGAAAGCACTGTCTAACCTGTTTCCTAACACTATCTCTCTGTAGAATACATGCAGCTCTGTCTCAGACCTTAGATAGCTCAGCTGCCCGCTTCACCCTTTGTCCCTTTTCTTAAATGGCACTAAACCTATCTGATCATACAAAACAGTTGGCAAATCTCCATCACAGAAAGACAAAGACCCCCCTCCTTACTTCTTCCCCAGCTGTGCAGGGAATCAAGTTCAGGGCCTTGCACATGGTAGGCAAGTGCTCTCAACTACTAAGCTACTTCCCCAGGCCACAATTTGCTTTTCAAAAAAAATTAGACATCTAAGTAATCATTATCAACTTAGGTTCTTGAAAGATGCATTGCAATCACCCTAAGGATCTTAAGACTCAACAGACTTCCCTATGCCATAATTATGTATTTCAAATTCATTCCAAGTAATATACAAATCCATTAAGGTCATTACAATATGATACATAATAACACTTTGAAATTTAAAAATTAATGTCTAGACACAAAAAATGATTGATAAATTATGGCAAGAGCTCTTAAGGAAGGTTTGGGATTTTACTTATTTTTTTAGATTTTACAACACTTGCATATACATAATGATGTATAGAGGAGATGAAACCCAAGTCTAAGCATTAAACTCTTTTGTTTTATCCACAATTTATAAACATAGCTGGAAGGTGTATGTGTGTGTGTGTGCACACATGCATGTAACTTTTTTGTTGGAGGGTGCATGGGTACATGTGTGCAAATACACATGTTATGCATGTGCACACACAGACCAAATGATAACATAGGTACTGCTTACCTTCATCTCTTGCAATGGCCTCTACTGATTGAGTACTTGCCAAGGGATTCACCTATCTATCTGTACCTCCCGCAACTGTGGCTGTGTGTGGGCATGTGCTACCATACCCAGCACCTTAAGGGAATTTTATTCAGTATCTTCAGGGTTTTGACTGTGATGTCACATAAGACCAAGTGTGGAACTGTCTACTTGTAATATCATGTAAGTGCAACAAAGTTTTGGATTGTAGAGCACATGAAGAGCTCAAGCTATATTTATCTATATTTTAACTTTATATCTAAGGGTGAAAAAAATCATGGTTAAATTTAGAGAAAAAAAAGTAGAAAAACTCCAGGAAGAAATAAAAATTAAATGGTCACCAGGCCACCCCAGAGCTAAATGTTAACATGAATGAAAAAGAAATACTGACATGTTGTCACTATACTCATCCACAATACCAACTAACCCTACCTCTCACTAAGCATTTACTACATATAGAAAATTATTTATGCCGTAACTGCACATGGGAAGTAAATCATAAAGAACATCAATACTTGTCTAATGACAAGCCTACAAAGTTACCAATTATTTAAGAGAAGAAGGATCCAGTAAATAAAGAGGTCGAAGCATAAATCAGGAGGACGAGAGTTCAGATGTTCCGCCCCTATGTAAAAGCCCAGTGCAGCAATGTGTGCCTATAATCCCAGCGATGGAGAAGCAGAAAGGAGAACCCCTAGGGTTGTTGGCTAACCACTCTAGCTAAACTTTAGGCAGGGGTGGTGAGCCTGGAACAAAAATAAGGCGAGGGCTGGGGCTGTAGCTCAGTGGTGGAGTGCCTGCCTAAGTTAAATTCCTAGTATGAGTAGAACAAATGACAGCAACAACAACAACAACAAAAATGAAAACCCTTGACTTGAGGCTACCTTGACAATGGAAAGGTGGCTCTGTGGGAAAGAGGACTTTATTTTTTTATTATTTTTTAATTTAATTTATTATTTTACATGTCGATCCCAGTTCCCTCTCCCTCCCTCCTTTTTACCCTCTCTGCCCTCTCACATGCACCCTAACCACCCTCCCCTCCCATCTCCCACCCCAATTCCATATGTAGGGGAATGCATCCAGTTGGGGTCATGTAGATCTGACAGGTCATGCGAAGTAGGGACTAGGGCTTCTCTCCTGTCTCTAGGTTAAGGCAGTCATCCCTCCATGGGGGATGTGTTCGCAAAGTCCTTTTGTGCACCAGGGATACATCCTGGTTCCATTGTCTGAGGTCCCTTAGACTGCTCAGTCCTTCTGGCTGAGACCCATAATTCAGGGGGGCCTGAGTCAGTCCCATGCTGGCTTCCCAGCTATCAGTCTGGGGGCTCATTAGCTCCTCCTTGGGGAAAGAGGACTTTATATGCAAACATGAGGACCAAGGTTCAAATCTCTAGCACCCATGTAAAAAATTCTGGACATGGTTGTGTATACCTACAATGCCAGCATTGTGGTAAGGGTATGGTAACAGGCCAGCTGTTATGGTAACAGGAAGCTCACTGTTAGGCAGCCTAGCTGAAATGGTAAATTCCAGGTTCAGTGAGAGATCATGCTTAAAAGAATAAGAGAGAGGTAGAGCAAAACACCAGAGTCCTGATGTGAGCCCCCAGCACATACATGCACATACTCATGTACAACATCCCCATTACATACATGCACAAAGGTGGAGGAGACAGAGGAAGATACCTGGTGTCAACCTCTGCCCTTTCCCACAAGCATACTCACACATGTGTGTAAGCATACATACATAAATAAATATTATGGGTTTTACATTTCAAAGGTCATCCTTCCATGACCACACACACTGTTTTGTCAGCTAGTTATTGAAATATATGGAAAAGTGACAGAAAAATGTTCTAAGATTCAAGAGTAGATAACATTAAAACACAACATATCTGAACTTAAAAGGAATATAAAAGTGATTGTCTCTGGCATCCAACCAAGTATGCAAACTAAACATATAACAGAAAAATAATAAAGATGTTCTGAAAATAAGAATTTTTAATTACACTTATTGATTTTCACATACACTTTTGCCCTCCAGACTCACAGTTCTATATCTCTAGATTTAATCACAAGTCAAAATTACTCAGGAAAAAGCTGTTTTACAAATGCCTCAAATTGCTTTCTTGCCAGTGCTGTCTAGTAAATATTCACACCACATGTACACTTGGCCTGGAGAGGAAAGAAGCTGGGCACCGGTTACTCACAAACACCACACCTTTTGATATGAAAGACTAGAATGTCTGGGGACTCTGGAACCACAAGGGTCCTGGAATAACCCCTCAGATGCTGAGGGGTGACCATGCTTGACCACTTTATGACTGACTTGCTATGGCTGCACGTTTCCTTTCATCTTATCAATTATCATTGAAGTTTTAGAAATTTTGTAAAACATTAGGTTCATAAAAGTACAGTTTACTGACCAGCCCACAGTGCAGTTTCCATCTGTTGATCAGCATAGCTTTACTATCTATTTCTATGACAACCCTGTGATGCCTGTGATGTAAGCATACATCTCACACCTTCAAGGAAACAAACAAAGCCCCATCCCAGGAGGCAGGCTGCCACTGTGCGAACACAGTCAACACCACCCTCACAGAAGCTTTCATGAAAGCTCAGCTCTAAAACTCCAAATATTCTTCGCTAGAGCCATGTTTGTATTTCAAGACACTGAGTCCTCTGCATTATTACTATGTAAGCAGGGACTCTGAAAACATTCCTCCCTCCCTTTGGAAGACACAAAAATACAAGGTTACCTTTTTACATCAGTGTAATTTAAAACAAGGTAAGAATTGAAGGTGGTAATTCTTTTAGAAGGTACACTCTGTTTCACATCAAATTGGACCACATATATCATCAAATGATTCTACACTATAGTTAGGGGAGAGTGCTTTAAAATTATACATCAAAGAAATAGTTCTGCTAAAACCCCTCTTAATGGGAGCTGCATTAGCTGGAGTTGCTGTCACAGTAATAGCCTCACAGAAGTACTCATTTATACAGAGACTTCCTTACTTCCAACAGATACATGTATACCAGAGAAGAATAAAGCCATATAATTCTACAGATACTTTATTAGACTGAATGTGAAACCAAAGTATAGGTGCAATGCTTCGAAATTCATCCTGTCATCATCGCTTGAGCAATCTTTCCACCAAGGAAAAGGAGCTGTCAGCTGCAAGCTGATGTGAGGGTGCTGTGCTATTAAACAAGAGCACAGAGATGCACCTAATTTCCCACTTTGAAGTGATTCCTTTTAAAGATATCTTGAGTTCTAAACCCAGTGCTAAAACAAAGACTCAACAACATAAAACAAACTCACTTCAGTATAAAATAAAATAGTAAGAATTTAACTTTAAAATAAAGTTATTAGCTCTGTGAGATACCCCATAAACAAGAGATCTCCACAGTGAATAAGTTTCCTATAATGGCACGTCACAGTCCACATTAACAACTGTAGAGTCCTATAATACAGAAACCTTACCTAACCCTGAAACAGCCTCTCCTGGGCTAACAAGCAGCACTTCCTATGCTGTACTAAGGTAGCTTAATTAATCCTTGTAACAGCTCTAAAAGCGGGCCCCTTGTCCAGGTAACCTTGCTGGAACAGAAAATGGTTAAATATCTTCCCCAAGATCATACAGTTTATAAATGTCAAGCTGGAGTTTAAACCAAAATTATTATGTCTAGCTTTATCTTAACCTGTAGCTGTTTCTACCTCAGACCTATTAAAACCCAGGGAACTGATGCTCAATATTCTTGTTATGTTGACATACAAATTTTTATTTATACGTGTGTGTGTGTATACATATACATACACATATACATATACATACACATACATACATTCATGAAAAGTATAAAGAAATACAAGCCAGTGAGATGGCTCAGCAGGTAAAGATGCTGTAGCCAAGCTTGAAAAAAAAAAAAAAACTACAAAATCCAGAGCCCACACATGGCAGAAGAAAACTGACTTCAGAAAGTTGTCCTCTGACCTCCAAAACACACACACACACACACACACACACACACACACACACACACACACACACACACACGTAGTTTAAAAAATTTAAAGAGTATGGAAATAGAAGGGGAAAGACTGTAAATTAGTTTAGCTGTGTTTGCTATAGGGTGTCCTCCCCTTTAAAAACTGTGCACAAGTAGCTAGCATTTACTGGGTGCAGTCTGTAGGCCAGGCTGATGCTAGTTTTCCTGTGTTAGCCCATCAGACCCCCATCCTTTTTTAAAATGAGCACTATTACACTGCAGAGGAACTGCAGTGAGCTATCAGGGGTTTGCAAGCACCAGACCAAAACCATTTTCAAAATATGAACACAATGTCTCTTTCCATTTTCACTAAGACCTTTGTACTGATGGGAGAAAGTGGTGGTAATAAAGGTACTATCACTAGGCACAAACCAAAACAACAACATATAATCTGAAATACCGGAAGGTCAGTTTCATGTAAGACTGTTCCAGATACAGCACAGAAAGTACCAAATGAGGTCCCTTAGACTGCTCAGTCCTTCTGAGACCCATTTCCAAGTCAGTCCCATGCTGGATTCCCAGCTATTAGTTGTGTGTGTGTGTGGGGGGGGGGGGGCGGGGGGTTAGCTCTTCCTTGTTCAGGTCAGCTGTCTCCATGTGTTTCTGCAACCTGGTTTTGTTCTTTCTTTCTGCATCTGGATTCTAGTTCAACTCAGTGTTTAGTTAAGTGGAACCAGGATATATTCCTGGTATACAAAAGGACCTTGCGGACACATCCCCCATGGAGGGATACTCCCTTATCCTAAAGACAGGAGAGAAGTCCTAGTCCCTACTTCAAATGACCTGACAGATTTACATGACCCCACCTGGATGGCACAGCCCTACATGTGGAAAGGGGGGTCAGGGTGCATGTGAGCAGGGAGAGGGTAAGAGGGAGGAAGGGAAGGAGGGAGGGAGAGGGAACTGGGACCGACACGTAAAATAAAATAATAAAAAAATAAATAAAAATAAATAAATAAAAAAGAAAGAAAGTACCAACTGAATTAACTCTTAAATTCTGGGCACAGGTTGCAGTGGTATGCTGACTGATGAACCTGGAAGTCCTTCTGGAGCTTGTACCACTCAGATATGATGGTTACCTCAGAAAAAGTACTTCTGAAGATGTTTGAATGACAATTTGCACCACAGAATGCCATCATACTTGAAAGAACAGCTAACTTACCAAAGTTCTATGGCTGTTTGGATTCTGGGCCATATTTGGCAGGCATTTTCTCACAACAAATATACTGAGGCTCAGACTTGGAGGGAAACCGTTGGTACTGTGCTGTACTGATGACATTCGGTCTTTCAAGCAAAACTTTGAAAACCATGTTATAGTACTCCTATGGCAGTCTGAGGACTACTTTATTTATATGGGTTTTGGGGATCAAACTGTAGTCATCAGGCCTGCACAAGCTTCTTTATTTGCTGAGCTATCTCAGCAGCCAAGGACTGGGAGTGATCTTAAGGGACTTGAGTTTAAAACAGCACAAACTCAAGGCAGAGCAGTGTGAGGATTTCTAGAAGCTATTGGGAAGGACATTGCTCCTGTTTCCAGAAAAGTCTTCAGAGGCCATCTCCTTCTTTTCCTGAGCAATGTGATATGGACATGAAGCCTGGAACTACAGGAATGATTCTGACCCCAAAGGGAAGCTAGAGTGGAGGCGGAAAAAACTGAGGCACAGCAACCGAGCAGTTAAACCCAATTACACTTGACGTCTGGACATCCAGCACAGCTCTGACTGCTGGAACCACTCTGACCTGAGGATTCGGTTATTTCCAACGTGAAGATTCATTTAAAAAAAAAAAAGAATTCTGCTTCATTAAACTAAAATTTCAAAAGTGAGTATGAATGTAAACATTGGAATAACTGAAAGAAAGCAGTTATTGCGAAAATCCACAATGAATTTGAACAGCTTCAAAGGGAAATAACATTATTTTAGGTTACCTTCTCAGTGTTCTTGTATTTTTCCCATCCTTTCAGCATTTTCAGCCATTTGGTAGTTCTCTCAATTTCCAGTTGCTTTTGCTAAAATAAAATTCAAATATAACATCGTTTGTTTGACACTCTTTACTTACAAATCACAACATAACAAAAGCAAAAAAAAAAAAGCTTTTTGATCTTTTTGACTTGAAATTGCACTATTCCAGAGATCAAAGATCAAATACCCTTCCTAACTTGCTTCTAAGTGGAATAATGTGATACATCAACAGCAGCCGAAAGCAGAAGTTAGGGATCATACGTGATACTTGATATGAATGAGAAGACACAGTAAAGGGCTTGCTTGTCTTTTCTAATGCTTTAAAAATCACAAAAAATCCTATGTATACTAATACAAAGTTTTTTTGTTTTTTAAGGAAAATTTGAAGTATTTTGCAAAGCAACAAAAAACAACTACAAATTTCAATTTTCTTTTATCTCATTTTCCTCAATTCTAGAACATTCATGGTTTTGATGGCTAAGTCCATTTTTTTAAAGAATTCAATTTAGTTACCATGTGATTAACATATAACTAGCAACATGCTAGAGAAATAATAAACAACAATGAGTCATAGTTGTCACCCGAGACTCCTCATGTGCTGACAAAGGAGACACAACCCTGTGGCAGGGGGGTCTGACATAAGGCTAGTGGCAATATCACACAGAAAAACCCATCCTACATGAGGAGCTGAAAGATTATTGTGGGATTTATGTGATGTGATGTGGGATACCATTCAGTGCCCTATGGAGCTGACTGACGTTCCAGAGTTTTAGGAAGGAAACAGGTGCCATGGTGAATGAACTAAAAGTCTCGTGCGTCAAGCCTGAGCCCTGCAGCAGGGCTGAGCACTGAAGCAAGTTAACACAGAAACGGCTTTGCTCCTCTCTTTGGGGTTTCTAGAGGCCAAGTGTTTAGGCCTGAGAGCATAATAAATGTGCGATAACAAGCAACGAAAAGAGAAAACTACCCAAGAAAGGGAACAGTTTTTCAGGTTCATCTCGTACTTCAAGGCAGTATGCTCCCTTTAGTCTCATGAGGCAGGTCTGTCACTGAGGAAGCACATACAAAGGGCTTAAGGGACAAGTCTAACAAGGGCAGGGACATTCAGAGCAGGCAGGTGCACTCTCCTTGTGCCCAGTAGTCACCTCTCTTCTGTTTTCAGCCATCCTGCCTTCCTTCCTGAATGAAAATTATGGCTCCTTACTGACTGGCTTCACTCCAGCCTCACACAGGCAGGCAGTATGCTGGCAGATGGCATACACCCACCACCAATAATTTTAGATGTAAAGGAAAAATCCCCAAGGAAAATCCTGAATTTAAGAAAAGATCCTCACCTATGAGAATGTTTTTTATTGAATTTACCTTCAGGTATATTCGTAAAGCTCTGTAATTACTTTCTAACTCTTAAAAGTTCTTATTTTTTATAATAAAAGATGATCACTTGTGAGCAAAAGAATGTTAATTCCCATTTTTCAAAAGGCTAAACACAGTCTTTATTATATTATTAGTGATAAAATGATGCAGATGGTTCCAGAAATATGTTTAATTTTAAAACTCAGTGGGGCACTGAAATCTAATTAATGTTTCGCTAAATGTGACTTCAGAGAAGGCCAAACTGAAGGAGAGAGTGATCTAAGCTGCCATTTGCTGTGCGGTTTTTCCACATTCCCTCCTTTGACTTCTTAAAGCACAGTCACCTTCTCCATCAATATGAAAACAACCAAATCATCCAAGTCAGCATAAGAACAGGACACACACAGCCCACACATAGTTATCTCTTGATAATTTTCACTTTCATTTCTATGAATTACCAATAAATTACTTCAGGGAATAGTCATTCTTTTTTTTAAAGACACACTTTCATATATTAATGTTTGTCATATATTAGAGTAGTTTAAATGCTCTGTATCCTGCAAGAATGAAACATATATACACATAACATTTTAAGAATCATTACATTAAATAAGTTTTTCTTTCTTCTACAGTTGATCTTCGCCAAAAGGCCGAGAAGCGATTGTTTTTCTTTCTTCTATACATATAAAAAACTAAAACTTGGATAATTTCCTAGTGTAAGAGTTTAGACTTCCATATCAGTTAAGTACTGACTCTGCAATACTATCATTTCACTACCCCAGACTTGAACGCATAAAGTGTCCCTCTCCAGTTCAGTCAGTAATTCACGGTTAAAACCTACTTTCTTTCCAAGTATATGGAAGCTCCCTGTTTTAACAATTATTTTGAAGAAGTAACCAAAACCACATATGACAACTGTGAACTTAAGAGCCCTAGAAAGCAGGTTAGAGTACCAATGAGTCACAGATTCATCTATACAAAAATAAAAGCAGACTACCAACAGTGTGTCAGGATTTCTACCTGAGATTTTAACAGACACTTTCAACTCAAATCTGTTGGCTATTCCCAACACTGCCATGCCTCTCTGACCAAGATCTGCCGTTTGTCCGCGAGTGGTGCTTTTCCTCACTACCTGTGATGGCTCATGCTTACTGTCAATTTGCAGGAAGGGTGACAACACTCTGAGTACACCTGGGAGGGAGTTTCTAAACTGAGTTAGCTGAGGCTGATTGGTGTCTGAACCTGAATAAAATGAGGAGAAAGTGATCTGAGCCCCAGGACTCATCTGTTTTCCTGTGACTGCCTTGTGGCCAGATGTTCACACTTCTGTCACCATGACTTCCCTGCCATGATGGACTGCACCTCAAACTGATAAAAACAAGTCTTTCCTTATTTGCTTCTGTCAGGTATGTTAAAAAGCAATGGGAAAAGTAACTATACATCACTCAACTGGCAGTTCAAATGTCCAAGGTCTGAAGCTTCTCCGAAATGCCTCCATTCAAGCTAATTCAACTATTCCCTCAGATTTCGTGACATGGACCAAGGCCCAGCTTAGTCAGAGTTCTGCCTCTTCCTATCTGTTTCCCTTGGGTCAAACACTTGATTCTTCTTTCCCTTGGTTCTCTGTTCTACAGAATGGGAACTACTACAATTATTTTGCAGTCAACACATGTACTCCAGCTGCCTAAGTACTCAAATCATATTATTATTATTAAAGTATTAACTGCTTGACCATGGAGACCAAAGCATATGTCTATCCTTTAATTTTGTTACCTAAAACAGCAGTTGTATAAGAGTTTAAAATAATATCCTAACAGTTTACAACAGACAGGGCATAGGCAGCAATGTGAAATAGTTAATAACGTCCTGTGACTCTCAAGTGGAGTGGAAAGAGTATGAATATGAACTGTTCCCTCAGGTAGAAGCCTCACCATGTGATTCAGAAAGAACCACAAGAAATTACAATAACCCCATGTAGTACTATGGTTGAAAGTGTGTCATTCTATGTGTTGGCAGATAGTTTCCAAAGTGCGATAAGAAGTAGAGTTGCCTTTTCTTAATTTTCGTTTTGAAGTATTTCAAACCTACATGAAATAAAAGAAAAGCCACACCATATGTTTCTGTATGCTTCATGGAAATCTAACAAGTATTAATCTTTTGCCAGATTTCACTTATGTATTTTGGGGAAGGGGTTGTGACAAACCCACTAGAAAAAAAATCACAGACATGAGCATATCATATCTACATATTTCATATGAAGTATTTCCAAGGATGCAGCCATTTAAGCACACACCACCACCACCCCACCCTACCCCACCCCACCTCGCCCCTGAGACAGTTTTTCTCTGTGTAACAGCCCAAGCTGTCCTGAAACTGGCTCTATATACCAAGCTGGTCTCAAATTCTCAGAGATCAGCCTGCGTCTGCCTCTGCCTCTGCCTCTGCCTCCCAAGTACTGGGATTAAAGGTGTGTGCCACCACTGCCTGGCTAAACAGAAACATTTATCCTAACCACTGCATCATTCTTATATCCAAAAAATTTCAAATTCAATCATGATCATCTCAGTCTATACACTAAATTTTCTATTGGTCTCCCAAATGGTAGTTAGTTTGGTGTGTGTGTGTGTGTGTGTGTGTGTGAGAGAGAGAGAGAGAGAGAGAGAGAGAGAGAGAGAGAGAGAGAGAGAGAGAGCTGGGATTGAACCCAGGCTTCACACACTGACTATAGCTCTGTCATACACCTTCATTACTATCCCTCAGCTATGGGGCATTGGCTTCCAGGTTGGTGATTACCTGGCATTCTCAGTAGGATCTCATACTCACAGAGGGCATGGAAGCTTTGTACCTCTATTCCTCACCCCATTCATGTTCCATCCGGCCATTCCTGAGAGGATTTTCTTTAGTAAATGGGTCTAAGTAAGCACAGAACTTAATGTTCCATGAGCTGCTCTAGCAAACCCAAGCAGCAGGTCATGTGAATCTCTGAATTGTGCACCATAGGTTAAAATCCTCTGGGCTCACGATCTGCATTAACAAGGGAGCAGTCTGATGAGAACTGAGCTGCAGGTCTGTAACAACTCTCCACTGGAAGAACTGCTTACATACAGGGAGAAACTCAAAAACACATAAGGTGTTCCATATAATGTAAATGATGAGATGAGTACAAAGTTTGGTTTCTGCCACATGTCACACAATAGGGACATGTGAGTAAAGTTGCTGAGAGTCACCCATGCTTAGATCTCACCAGCAGAGGTCAGAAGAGGATAGGAAGTACAGGACACCTTGCCATTGGAAAGTACAGTCCCTTATCATTAAGACTTAATGCTATGTAAAATGAAGGTGTACATTTTACAAGAAATAATGAGGGAGCTGTTAAGATGGTTCAGGGTAAAACACTTGCCTACCACTAAGCCTGAGAACTCAAGCTCAATCTTCAGGACTCACATGATAGATGCTGAGAATCAAAAGTTGTCCTCTGACCTATACATGCCCACAGTGGTACATGTGCATATATGCATGTATGTGCACATGTATAATAAATAAAATAAAAAATTTAAAAATAAAAGGCTCTCATATTTTATATCTTATACAGAATACTGTACTACATTTTGGGGGCTTTATCTATGAAAATTCATAGTTTTATAAAAACCTTTCCTCCTTATTAAAAACATCAATAAACTCAAGGAAATAATACAATCTATTATTAATATTGTTCTCTACAGGGTAAGTATAATAAGTGCGTTCATTTATTTGTTTAAGTGCCTGTTTGGGGGAACCCAAATCATTTTGCAAACACCACATTAATCCTCTTATGAGGGAGGACTACTGTCCCTCTCTTAAATGGAGAAAGGCCTTCTACAATAGTCCTAAGCACCAAGAAGCACAGCTTCAGCTGCAAGCTTTACAGAGTATAGACTTCAGCAAGCCAATCATTGAAATGAAAAATACAGATTAATTTTTATTACCTGTCTACAATGGTAGAGCTTGGCCACTACATACAGGCATACGCTACACAATGCTAGTATCTAACCTTACTTTGCATGTGTTCAAGCTTTAGTTCATAAAATTATGTATAATTATTAATATATTACTAATATATTATAATTGGTTACTGCATTACAATATTATGTTATTACATATAAAGCAGGCCATGGCCCTGGTGAAATGACTTAACAGAAGAGTCAGAGCCACCTGCTGTCAAGCCTGACAACCTGAGCTGAATTTCCAGTATCCACCAGGTTGAAGGAGAGTACTAACTCCCACATGTATGCTGTGACTACACACACAAATGTGTGTGCGCACATATGCAAGCATACATGGGTGTATTCATGAAAAATAAACATAGAAAACTTCAAAGCAGGTCATAAGATAAACAAGTGCAACCTGATTTCTTCTAAGGAAGAAATCACCTCACCTACCCCAGAACCCTCTTACCCCAGTACAGGACGGACAAGTAAATATACAAATATGTTCTCATTTGAATGAGTTTTGAAAAAAATAGTAGGGAGGATTTCATAGTGTACCCCTAACTCTCTATGAAAACCAGGCTGGTCTCAAACTATAGAGCTCTACCTGTCTTTGCCTCCTGAGTGCTGAGATTAAAGGCATATGCCACCATGCTTGAAATTTTAAATTAATCATTAAGGCATACACGGATTACTTTTTAGTGGTTCCTATTAAGACTTTAAATGGGAAGTTAATTAGTTATATACATACTTGTATTGGGTAAGAGTCTTACTATACAGCTCAGTCATGTAAAAAAATTAAACAAACTTAATTTTAAGCTAATTTGCCTTAAATCTCTTCTTACTGGCACATTTCTTGACTTACCTAATTACTGACGTGAACTCCAAGATTTCTTGACCAAAAAATTACAAATAGTGGTGGAGGGGTTGGAAAGAGAAGTCTATACTGCTGAATTAACATATTTTTATTTTGCCAAATCAACCTAGCCTTTGTTTAAAAACAAACAAAAATTTCAATTCTTTTCTCCCTAATCTTTCAAGTTCAGGACACTGCAACATCTGCAGACTCTCTGGCAGCTTTTAAGTAAATATATTTAATGTTATAAAAATGGTATGTGACTCATATAGATTACAACCCAGTAGAAGAAACAGACAAAGTAAGAAATTTTCAAAATATCTAACACATAAATTCTGTCATATACAACACAGAAAAACAAAACAAAACAAAACAAAACAAACAAACAAACAAAGACCATAATTAACACTGGGGAGAGAAGTTCCCAACTTTAGCTTAGATGACCATGAACAGTCATACTCTCTAAGTGACACTAGAGTAAATTCTTAAAGGAACTAAAAGGGCAGAGCCTTGTAGCTGCTATGACATAGGACAGTGAAACACTCCACAAGAGGAAGAAGCCAGTGGGAAAGCCTTGAAGAGGAACTCTGGCCCACCCACACTCAGGACACTAGGGAGCCAGCAGCTGAATAAAAGAAGGTAGCAAAGGGCAACACCTTGAGGGTCATTCTTAGAACTGTGCTTCATTATGGATAGACAGGGAAGACACTTCATTATGGATAGACAGGGAAGACACGCTGAGGCTCTAAAAGTAGCATGATTTTAACTCATTTTAACAGGACCATTCTAATTGTGAAGAGAAGACTGTGAGAGAAAGGGACAAGGACTGAAGTAGGAAGACCAGAAGCTCCAAAAGAAAAGTTATAGTACACCAGGGTAGCAGAAGTAGAAATGAAGTCAACAAATTCTTAATAGACCTGGGTGGCAGAGTACCCAGCATTGGATGGGAGAGGAGATGGGGATCTGAGAGAAGTCAAGGACAACTCAGAAAACAGTGGTCTAGAGTTTGGAAGAAGGACACCTGCTCACTGTGATGGGCACATTTGTCTACAAGGCAGATCTGAGGACCAATATTGCTAGGATAAGAAAAGATAAAAACTCAAACCCTAAGTATGGGTTTCATGAGACTGAGAGAGGGAGGGAGTTAGGAGGGAGGGAGGGGGTTAGGAGACAGGGAGGGAGGGGGTTAGGAGGGAAGGGGGAAGTGAAAGGGAAGGAAGGAGAAAAGGTGCAAGGAAGGGAGGGAGGAAGGTGCAGAGGGAAGAAGAGGGGAAGAGAGGAAGGGAGGGAGGAAGAGAGGAAGGCTGGCAGCTCTTGAGTGAAGCTATTGTTAAGTTAGAGACAATCTGTAAAGGCTACAATAAAATCTGAGCTGAGGGAGGGTGGAAGTGAGCATGGGAGGCCCTGTGGTGGTATCAGGAGGTGAGATGATTGGTAAAGCAGGACACTACACACAAAGGGATGGTCAGGAGGCAGGGGCAAATCCTTAGGTTACCACTTCCAACAGCTTGATACAAAGTTCCCCTAGGGCACACTTCACAAGATGCTCACCATAACTGCCTCATCCTCTCATGTACTCTTTCTTGATCTACAGATTGCTTTCCTGACCATCAGCCTACATGTCATTTCCACTGTGCTACAGACCTGAGTCCAACCGATCACCTCCCATCTCTTATCTCCAATGACTGCTCTAGTCACTGGACAGAGGGCTTCTCACAGGCGGGAGGGGTGGGGTATGATGGGATGGGGGAATGCTCTCCTCAGTCCTGGGACTCTAAGCAGTAGCTAGTCCACAGCAAGACAAACATTACTCAGCGATGCAGCTGTTGAAAGTCCCCGTCAAAGCATCTAGGCTATGATGCTGCCAGAGAATCTGGTAATCTTTCACCTGCAGGAGGTGTTCACAAGTATTCTTCATATATGCAAAATAACAATTCTGTTTACATTTAAGGTTTTTCTAAATTTTGTTTTTATCAGAAAAATTTGATCTTAGAATATTTTCCTAAAATAGTTTTCAAATTATAATTGTAATTTCACCTGCACTGACTGAAGCTCAGCCCCCTTCCCCAGAAGAAGACACACAAACAAATACCTTCATTTTCATTCTAGAATTCATTTTGGAAGAGAAATAGAGGAGTAAGGGGATTCTGAACAGTTAAAACTTCCACTCTCTACTACTTCTGATGTATATATCCAGGTGTAGAACCAGCTCCTTGCTAAGAAGAGTAAAGAAATGTTTAAAGAAAAGCAGAAAGGCTTACTATGTCACTTGTCTAATCCTTAAAATGTTTAAAGTTAACTGACAACAAGAAATGTTCTAGTCATTACTTGTGGGGAGTTGGATAAAAACTCATGGACAGTTATTTTCTGTGAACCTACTGGTCTGGAATTGTGCTTTACTATCCAGAGGGTGCATAAAGATCACCTTACTCCTAACGACTTACTGTTACATCCACAGATTAGTGTTAACTGCCAAATCTCATCAGAGAAGCTTCTTTTAACAGAGGATAGTGATTAACACAGACTCACAACTGTTCAGGCTTAGGGAATAAGGGATTGTGAAATGCTCAGTACACTAGGGGACATCCACACCACATCCTCTCCTCTGAGGTTCAGAGCCAGAGCCAGGAGATATTGCAAGGAAACCATTTTCTGGACACAGCAGAGCAGTTGTAGTACATATGAGCTCACAGCAGTTGTGACAGCATGCATAAGATCTGCACAGACTCAAGCCTGACAAATTTTCAGAATGGAGAAGAGAGGTAGGCAAGTAGCCACACTCCTAGTTAAGAAGCTATTGGGAAAGGGAGAGTCAATTTTCTTTATGGGCTGACCTCTCTCCAGTGTAGGCCACACATTCAAGAGTATCTGGGCAGCACAAATTGTACTTGATGGGTTTAAAAACAAAAGGACACAAAGTTAAGTGGGTAAGGAAGGAAGAGACCAAAGTATACTGTGTGTACTTTTCAAAGAACTAACAAAAATGAGAGAAAAACCAACCCCCACCCCCATCACACACACTGGATGGATGGATGGATGGATGGGTGGGTGGGTGGGTGGGTGGGTGGGTGGGTGGGAATTCCTAACATAGAGAAGTGTTTCATACAGGTAGAGTCTCATGCTGGAGCTGAGCATTTCAGAGTGCTGAACTTTTCATTACTTTTAAAGAAAGACCAGAATCTCATAAATCCTCCTAACTTATATTTCACCCTTATTTTAATTCTCTTAAGAACAACACAGTTTTGGTCAAATTCTAACAATGCCAACTGCATACGATACAGCACTCAAAAATCCCAAAAGCAGACTCTTCCTGTGGAGACAATTCATCAATGACTACAAATAAACAAAGAACCACACTTACCCGGTCAACAGCTGCATTGTGATTCGGGAGCTCTTCCTCACTGTAGAGAATAACAACATGCATGAAAAGGCTGAGATCAGGGCAGACTTTTACTAAGTATATCCTACAGGCATGTATTAAATGTAATATGTCACTATAAGAGATGTGTGTTTTATGTTTCCATTCCACCAAATTCAACAGAAAATGACTGGTCTATAATAACAACATCCCTCATCTTCAAACACAGTAGTGACTAGCCTACAGGGAGCAATTTGAAGTAAGTCTCACTAACCACAATCTGACTACACAAAAGTCATGTAGCTACCTAGAGGCTGCCACATTGAACATTTCTATCATGGCAGAAAATTCTGTCAGTGAGCACTACCCTAGACCAGGGTTCAGCAACTCCTGTCACAGTAAATAGTAAGTCTTTTAGGCTTTGGGAAACACATACTCTTTCTCACAACTACTTGGACTCTAGTGTGGTAGTGTGTATGTATACAGTACTCACAAATGATGGGAAACTAAGCTCCACAGAACTTCTACAGAACCAAATCGTAAACTAGTTTTGGCCTTGACACATAGGTCAGTCTGCCATCCTGTGCCCTAGACTATCACTTTTACTCTTGGATCCAACTACTGCCTAAAATAAGCCACTGTTTAAAATTCTGCATGAAGAAAAAAATGGCGCCAGGCCTGGAGGAAAAGGGCTGAAACACTAGCTAATCAAGAGGCTGAGTAGAAGAAAATTAACAAATTCAACAACTTCCTGGGTTTCAGTTAGTGCAAAGCCTGACAGGGCAACTTAGTGAGACCCCACCTCAAAATAAAATAGTAAAATGAGGGTTGTGGGACCAAGAGAGATGGCTCAGTTTGTAAAGTACTTGCTATGCAAGCATGAGGACCTGAGTTCAATCCTTGTGCACGAGAGCGAGCAAGCCTTGAACTCACAGAGATTTGTCTGCCTCTGCCTCCCAAGTGCTGGGATTAAAGGCGTACACCACCACTGCCCTGCTTCAACAGAACTTTTTTAATAAAAAAAAAAAAAAAAAAAAAAAAGAACAAAACCATTTCTCTGGTTCATGTATGCTATCACCTCTAACGTTAAATTATCCAGAGAGTATTATATTAACTGTCAGTAATAAATAGTTTTTCATATAAACAAAGCTGATTTTTGGCAGCTATCTCAATAGTATGAATGTTTTGGCAATAATACATGCATATTCTTGCTTCTATTTCCTCTTGAGATCAAGTGGCATGACTTTTAAAAACATGACAGATTATTATTCAAGAACTAGCATTTTCTATGTCATTTTTTGCTTCTCTGAAGAGTCTTTAGATGAACCATTTAGCCATAGCAATGGAACAAACAAAAATGGTATAAAAGCCAAAGAGAATTTAGAAAGAGAACCCAAATCCCTCTTTTCATAGATAAGAAAATAACCGTTTTCACTTAATCATTTAGCCCTAACACAGAAATATTCAATATAACATAGCCCAGGGCATTTAAATGACCTTCAGCTATTGCCAGAATGTACAAAGAAGGGCACGGACTGAGGAAACGTGGGAGACAGAGGCAGACCAACCTGGTCTACAGGGCTGCAAACAGAAACCTTGTCTTGAGAGGGAGGGAGGGAGGGAGGGAGGGAGGGAGGGAGGGAGGGAAGGAAGAAAAAGGTATAGATTATTAGCATAAGCAAACATGCCTTGTAGTACACATCTATTTGGCACATTCTGAATACCTTGACTATCCCAGTGAATGTTCTGGACACACACTGGGCTATTAGTGAAGTGCACGCTCTGTCTCCCAAATGCTGGCTCCAATAATCTGTATTATGCTACTTAAATCTCCTTCAAGTAGAAAAGAGGAAAGACCACAGTCTGGAATATACAGATGAGTATTCCTTCAGGTCAGCAAACCATGGTCCACAGGCCAAATTTTGTTTGCTGTCTATTTTGTAAATAAAGGGCCTTTTTTTGTTGTTGTTGTTTTTTGTTTTTGTTTTGTTTTTAATGGAGCACTGTCATTCTTACTAATTTAGACACTGTGGTTGTTTTTATACTGAGTCATGGTGACAAGAACACATAGTCTACATATCCAAAAACACTTAGTATCTGGCTCTTGGTAACACATGACATGACTACTACCTATCCCTGGCTTTAGAACACAGTTTCTCAACCTTCCTAATGCTGCAACCCTTTAACAGTTTACTTGTTGTGGTGACCCCAATCATAAAATTACTTCATTGCTACTTCATAACTAATTTTGCTACTGTTATGAATTATAATGTAAATATCAGGGTATATGATATTTGCCCCCTGTAGTGGTCACAACCTACTAGTTAAGAACTGCTGCTTTAGAGACTAGAACCTGCAAACACCTCAAGACTGACTGCTCAGAGACAACACTCAGGCCTTCCATATAAACAGTAAGTAAATACAGCAGTCATCAGAAGACAAAAACTTGAGCTGGCATGTTTTTCATCTGGATTAGGTTTTAAATGTATTACTAAGAATGTGTCTGTCATTTCTCAACAACTCACAGGAATATTTCTGTAAATATAAAATAAACATTTCATTTGGAAACCTAGTTTGTTAAAAATCAGTTGAGTATATTGACTATGGTTGGTTTTGAATCAAATTTTATTTAAGCTTAGATTTAAGCTAGTTAAAATATACTTAAGACTGATGAAAGAGTTCTCAAACCTTTCTAATCAAAATGGATAATCTTGATAACAAGAGCACCTTTACTACAGAGCAGTACATTCCTACAGATCTATAAAAGCAAAGAAAATTATGGACAAGTCCATTACATTTTATAAATACACAAATTTGAGTAAGTAGTTGAGCATCTGATGCTCAGTGTTAATTTGATCTCCTCTATTTTTGGTACAGCTTCCTTTCTCCTATTAAAAACTTGTGACCTAAAAACATTATTTATCATTATCCAAATACCAAGCATTCTTTGTCCAGCCCAGCTGTGGTAGCTAGTTCTACAACCACTTAAGCAAGCTCAACTTGTTCACTCTGCAGCTGTAACTCTATCACAGGCTGGTTTGGCAATAGCATTTGTTAATACTGTGAACATTATTATCAAAACAAGTCAATTTATACTGTGCTAATTATTGTCACACCTTTATATATCATACAAAGAAAAAAAATTAAGTTTCTAAAGCTGTATCTAGATATGAGCTCAGCAACATCCAGAGAATGCTGGGAGATTGTTCTTTCTATTGTACTGACAATGAATTTAAAATCTAATTTCAATTACAGCAGCAATCAAGACTTACACATAGCTAAGACAGGTGAGGTACTCTTTTAATCAGGTGTGAGAGAAAGTAGTATCTAGTTGCTTACAGCAAAAACATTATCCAACAGTGAGATAGATAAAGTCCCAACCACTGTGGCAAGTAATAAAAGTCACCCGCAGCAAACGCTGGGGAAAGAGCTTTGCTGAAGTAGACACTGTCACAAAACTCAACTGATAAAACCTAACGTCACTCTGGAGTCCACTCCTCTGCCTCATCATTTTTCATTGGGGCTTCTGTTTGGGGACTACAGCATAAAGCAGGGTTTTGTTTGTTTGTTTGTTTGTGTGTGTGTGTGTGTGTGTGTGTGTGTGTGTGTGTGTGTGTTTATTTTTTAATGAACAACATCAAGAGTACCAACACCAATCAGTCCCATTTTAAAATATGGTGACCTTTGCTATCTTAGAATATGTTGATAGAAGTTGCCATTTTGTTCTCCTCTATAGGCATCTCAAAGCACTTAGACTGTTATTTCTCTCACAAAATCAAAAGAAGGCAGTACTCTACAGCAATTCAGAACATGGCTCTGGAGTGAAACCTATCCTAGACCCCCATCCTAGGAGCTGACACTGTCAATAAACCTGAGGCAATTTATTTGAGCTCTTTGAACTATACATTTACCATCTAAAAACTAAAAAAAGAGAACCCATCACAATGATGTTTTGAAAGAGTAACTGCTCAGAAACCTGCCTGACACACAAAAAATGCTCAATGAGTAGTAACTAATACTATATGATAAGTTATCAACTGACTTTTTCCCTACTACAACTGACTGGACCTCAGCCCAAAGTTAGAAAAATAAAATAAAAACAAGCAAACAGGGAAAAAACAAACAAAAAAAAAATGACTACAAGTTACAAGTTTAACTTAGGCTTTTGGGCAAGAACTTTTTTTTTGGGGGGGGGGAGTAACAAATTTGTTTCAACTGACAAGAAAGAAAATTTAGGTAATTAACAAACCCTCTTGGAATGTACAGATTATTCAGATGCACTTCACACTATCTGGACTATACTATAATTCTAAAAAACACATTACCATGTGGATGGAATGGTCAAAATGAACTGAGTTTCATCCCATCTTCTGAATCAAAATCTAGTACAGAACCCAGAGATCTTTTTTCATCTGATTCTAATGTGACCCACTGAGCTTAAGAGTCTTCATAATCAAATTGTACTTCAAAATTTGATTCACATCCAAGTTCTGCACTTGACTAACACAAATGTGCAATGGTTTCCCATCACAGATGTGGCCATGTTAGATAGTGATGAAGGGGGGGAGGAGGAGGAAAAGGAGAAAGGGAAGTGGAAGAAAAGATGGGGGAGAAATCAGAATAATGTGGCCGGAGGTTGAGAAGAGGAATCCCATTGTAAGCACTGCTCTGTTGTCTGCTCAAGTTCAAAGTCTTCAGATTACAACTATCCAGGAGAAAATTCCACATAGGTACCATCTCTAAGCATTATTATGCTTACACTTGATTTCTTCAAAGCCTCAACATACAATATATAAGGTAATTTTGATTCTTTTCTCTAGATGAAGTGTGAAATCATTCAATGATGAGAAGCCAGCTGACAGGCAAAAAGAATACACACTGCTAAAAGACACCAATTTACATAACACTAGGACCTAAACAAGCAAATTGACATCAGTTTGCAGGTTATTTTTACCAGTCAAAAAGCCTTTAACTGAATTACTTTATAGTAGTCTAGTCCTCTCTCAATTCTTTATAGACCATAGTCAAGATAAATAGAGTTAATTTTGAGAAGCAATATCATGATTACATTTGCAACTATAATAAGGAAGATCAATGGCATTCTTTTCCATTGTTCATTTTTAGGCAATACTCATTTTCTAATGGCTAGTTATTTTAAAAATTCATCTACATACAATTAAATGTTTTATAATTATTTTAAAAATATAAACTGTTATCCATGTGTATTAACTTTGCTAAATTATTGATACAACTAATTTTACACATTTACTATGCTCTTTACAAAACACAAAAGGTATAAAGGTTATATTCTTAACTATAGCTCAATTTTAACCACAGTAGCTAAAAATGCTAGGAACCAAAAAGTATACTAGAGTCTTAGAAAATTCTAAATTTAATAACAGATAACCATAATAAGATTATAACTGAAAAACAACAGCTTTCAACCTGTGTAACTTACTGTAAAAAGCCAAATCTGTCAGTGACTTTGTAAACAAGATAATCAGCATCTTCCCAAGGCTCAATTTCTGCACCTTCTCGTCCCTAAAACAAAAGATGACAAGAGGAGTTATTTGGAATTTATAATACCAAGTATTTTACTGAGACAGATCAAACAGGAGTATTTTCTAACTAAACTATTTTTAGCAAAGTAATCACTAATCCTTAGTTATTAGCTATGGAAGATACTGTGTCAGTAAGAGCTAACACAGCTACTTCATCAAAATATGAACTGAGAGAAGTCAATGAGGACAAGAAAGCTACTGCAGGAGAAACTGACAAACCTTAAGCTTTAAAGTGAACTATCTAGAACAGGCCTTTCATGCAACCCTCTCACAGAAGGCAATGTACATTTTGTTTTTTCACTCCTTTGTTTCCCAACTGCACCAGCCCTGAACCCACTTATTGCTAAAGCAAAAATTGACTTCCAAATGGGTGTGGTAGGACATGCATTTAATCCAGCACACAGTAGGTACAGGCAAGTGGATCTCTTCCCTCTTCCCTCCCTCCCTCTCTCTCTCTAAAAAGACTTTGTCAAACCTGAGCCCACTCTTCTTCAGTCTGTAATACTGAACAATCAAGAACTACTTGGCAACAGCTCTTGTGCTCTCTGTCCTGTCCCCTGCTGGTGCCTTGCAGTTCTCTTCATGCACTCCAGCTCTTTGATAAATGCTTTCATAGGTAAGTAACTCTTAGCTGCTGGTGTACCCACAATTCTTTCCTCAGCTCAACATTCTACTCTTGGTATCACTTATAGTGATTATTTTAGGACCCCCAAATACAATGTATTCAAATTTTAGATTTGTAGACACTTCCACTTAAGTGTATTTTAAAATGTTTGTTCCTTCGAGTAGATTATGAACATCCTATGGGCAAGGACTGTCAGAAATCATTTTTAAAAGGTTTCCCAGGTCCTACCTTGGGCTAACTACATATGGGTGAGCAGCTAGGTAGTGGGGGAAGAGATAACTACAAGTATGAAAAACAGTGCTACTTGCTTATTTTACATTAGCTATGCAGTTAACTAGTTATCTAGGATTTTCATGAGTGACATAACTAACCACTACACTGACTGAATACTACCTGAGTGCTTCCCTGAAGGAAGGACACAGGCCAGGCAGCTGGTTACAATCTTATGTTCCTATTAACCTCACAAAATATATATTAAAAAGAAGATACACAACCACATTCAAGTGATGCAGATGTAGAACATGGCACCTACAAATAAATGTTACAATCCATTAAAAGAGACAAATAAGGAGAAATTACTAATAACAAATTGTTGATAATCTTTTACATCAAAACCAAGAAAGAGCCCATGCTAAGGAGATACCAAGGGAAAAAGGGGAAAATGAGGAGGAAGGTTTAAGTAGGAAAGGGGATAGGAGGGTAAAATGGAGAGGAGGGGACAAATCTGCTGTTTTATAAACACCGCCCTATTGGCTAGCTTTCTTAGAATCAGGAAGTGCTATGTAGGCTACTGGGGGAGGTGATGTCAGCAGTCCAGCCCAGCTGTGAACCCTGAAAGCTACAATAATGAGCAGCCTGGCAATATGTGCCCGTGAGCACAATAGTGGCATGAGTGTTATGGGGAAGTCCTAGCTTACATCTGCAGGACACAATCCATCACTGAGGTTGGGTGAGGGCAGGAATCTAGAGGCAAGAATTGTGAAAGAAAGCTGGTTGCTAACTGGATTTCTGGTTTAACTATTTTTATATAGCCTAGGACCACCACCTGAGGAATGGTACCACCGACAATGGGATGGACCCTCCTACATCAACTAACAATAATCCCTCACAGACATGCCCACAGATCAACCTGATTATACCATTCCTCAATTATTTATGGCTTCTCTCAGGTAACTCCGGGCTGTGTCAAGTTGGCCATTAAAGATAATCAAGACAAGGGTAATCAGCTACTTTCTAATTGTATTTCAGGCCCACTTCACAGGAGGAAACACAGGAGCAAATCTGACCTTAGTCAGATTTCAACAGCTGGGGAGTTCATGTGCCCCAGGGATAAACCAAACACCATTCCTTTACTAAATGACACAGCATCAAAATGCCTTCTACATCCGTATCTCTCAATACCCACAGATAAGTGCCCCTTTCAGTTCTCATTAGAGAAGCTTCCTTTTGTTCAGCTATTAATGCAGAAACTCATTGTTGGTACAATGCAGCCAGAAAATGTTTGAGGGAATGTTCAACCATAAATGGGCTATCTGTATCACTCTTCTCCTCCAAGGTTTACCAACATTGTGAAGAAGGGGCCAAAAGGCTGTTAGAGCCAGAGGTCAAGGAGGAACAGGATAAAACAGTGTTTTCTGGGTATACCCAAGTCCAGTGTATTCAAGGGTCCACAGCAGTTGTGCCTGACTGTATAATATCCAGCCAATCAACATTCCAGCTTGGAGAGGGAGTAGATCATAAGCTGCCATCCTGAGCTGAGGAACTATTGACAGGTGATAGATGCCAGAAGAGGAAGAACCAGTTTCCTTAGGGGTGTGGCCCCTGGTAGGTTGAGCATGTTCCACTGGATGGGTGCACACCCATGTGCATATGGGCAGCACAAATTGGATTGGGTGGGGAGGGAGGGAGGGTGGGAGGAGAGAAGGAAGAAAGTAAGGAAGTTGGGCATAGGAATAAGAGGTGTAAAGTGGGAGAAGTTAGGCAGAGGAATAGGAATGAATATGATAAACACACATTGTATACATGTATAAGATTCTCAAAGAATTAAAACACATCAGAAAATGAAAAAATTGATTTCATTCTGTCATACAGGCAAAATGTTAGTTTAAATTTACATGACACATAAATATAAGAATCTGAAATTTATAATAAATTAACTGAGTACATGTAAAAACTATTCTAAAAGAAAATTTAATTCTATATATCCACTCTCTCAAGTACTCGAGTAGCTGCCATTAGTAAAAAAAATTGTTCCAGGTATTTATTTCACAGGAATAAATCAAACTAAATTCCTGACCCCACAGAGTCTAGAAGGAAGAGCAGATAACAAGCAAAATACACCAAACATCGATGTGACTGGTATTAGGGTGAAAATGAAGAGTGCCAGCAGGTAACATACATTCAGAATGACGGTCAGAGGGAAGACACGAGAGGAGTGGGCAATGGGGTCTTCAGAAGTCGGGGAGACAAGTACTGCAGGGAGGAGATAGCCAGTGTGTACGAAAGTACGCACAGCGGCAGGGGCAAGTCGGGAAAAACAGCTAAAGAGGAGGAAGGCAAAAAGGAGAGAGGATTCACAGAAAACAGAGAAAAAGGAGTTGAACTCAATGTCCTCACAAAGGGAATAAACTCCTTGTTATTCAGCTCTCCAAAAAGCAAGCCCTTTTCTATTTATATGGATTTTTTTAATAAAAACCTACTCTAAGAATAAATATAGATACTTACTCTGTCATATTTAGCAACGATTTCGGCTCGTTCCTGAGCAAGTTTGAGTGCTACATCCTGGTCCGAATCTGTGGAGAGATCAAATTTAGATGGGCTGTTATCCTGAGAATAATAAAGTTAGTCATAAAACTAATAAAACATAAAAGCAATATGAAAAAGTAATAAAATCAAAATGATAAGTTAGTTGAAGCTTTAGAATATCAACTGTTCTATCACTTTAATACTATATGTAAATTCAAAGACTGTACATTTATTAACAGCAAACATGTCACAAGACCACAAATCTAAGCCCCTGCTGTGATCTTAATTTCAATGAGATCCCCGCCCCCCCCCGCCCCCCGCCACCTCCGTGTTTCAGTATCTGGTCTTGAACTGGTGATACTGTTTTGGGAAACTAGACACAGAACCTTGACTGGCAGATGGTGTTGGGGGTGACAGGGGCAGGCCTTGAACAGAGCCAGCCTAGCCCCTCTCTCTGCTTGCTGGTTTAGCACCATTTAAGAGGGCACTGCAACATGTTCCTGCCACCCTGCCTTCCTAGCCATTCCCCTAGAACCCATAAGCCAAAATAAACATGTCTCTCCTCACGCTGTTTGCGTTAGGTATAATATTCGTCCACAGTGACAAGGAAAGTAACTAATACAGCACTCGAGAGTTGATTCTCGAGTGCTGTATTAGTTACTTTCCTATTGGCCAACAGTGCTTTATTCATAAACCAATATGAGAAACATATTTACAGAATGGCATCTCTCATCAGAAATAGGAATAGAAACTGAAATGGAAAGTTGTTAAGTTTTCAGATAATAGGGGAGAAAGAAGGGATTTAACCGGGAAGTAAGCATCAAGTCAAAGCAAGGCAGTGGGAGAGAGAAAGGACCAGTGACACTAAGGATGCTAAGAGCCATAGGAAACATTATTTTATGTTTGCATAATAAAATATGTATAAGTTGTCTACTGCTGTGATAAAACATTGTAAGCAAAGAAAGTATGTAAGCTAAGAAAGCAAAGGAGTATGATGACTAGGTATTTTGTTTTGTTTTGTCAACTTGACATAAACTACAGATACCCTAAAGAGGGACTCTGAATTGAGGAATAGTCTCCATCTGATCAGTTTGCTCTCTGTGGGCATTTTCTTAATTAATGATTGGTATGCGAGAGGCCAGCCCACCGTAGGCAATTTTACCCCAGGCAGGTGGTCCTGGGTTGTATAAGAAAGCAAGCTGAACTAGCCAGCCACAGAGAGCAAGCCAGTAAGCAACACTCCTCCATGGTCTCTGTTTCAGTTCCTGCCCTTACTTCCCTCAGTAACCAACCATGACATGGAAAGAAATACTTTCATCCACAAGCAGTTTTGATCTATGTTTCAAAACAGGGACAGATAGGTGGATAGATGACTCCAGGCACCATAATAAAAATAAAGAACAAATCAGAGATTATGTAAAAGGTATTACAAACAAGGAGAAAAGACAACAGTGTTTAAATAAAAAGCCTGGGCAAACATCAAGAACAAGAAATTCACGAGAGCAATGGTAACAAAACAGCTATGGCTGAGCTGAGTGCTGGCAGATAGCAAGACACCATGTGGAGCTCTTTAACAGGCCTTGCCACAAATTCTCACAGCACTATAAGACAAGCATCATTATTAACCCTGAAGCAATCATAACCAATCATACATGAGGCTTAGCAGTATCAAACAGATTGCCTAATGCCACAAAGCTAGTAAAAATTAATGCTCGAAATCAAAACCAGACAGTCCTAAGTGTAGAGTTCTCAACTTTAACCACTGTTTCATAAAAACAATTCAAAGCACACAAAATGACAGAACATGCATATCCATTTTCCCCTAAAATCCTATTGCTATGACAATTTAAGGACTTTTGAAACCTCTCCTTTAAAGCTCCATCATTATGGTTTGGATATGAATTGTCCTTCAGAGACATGTGTTGAAAGCTTGGTTCCTGGCTGAGTGTATGGATGAGGAGGACATTAACCTCCCCCCAAAGATTAACCCACTGATGAGTTCACAGCTCAATGTGTAATCAGTGTCAATGGGCATGTTTTAAAGGGCCTATCTTGTCCCAGGAACCTTCTTGTTCTTTCTCTCTGCTCCAACCACAAACTGAGATTCAGAACAGTAAGCCAAAATAAATGTCCCTTTGAAGTTGTTTATCAGTGGCACTTTCTCAGTGATAGGAGAACTGACTACTGCAGCTTGGAAACAGGAATTCATGGGGAGACATGGGTGGGAGTGGAGTTAAAGATAGGGAATACCGGAAGGGCCGTGTGTGGCCGAGGTGAGTGCAGGGCAGTGAACCAAGCCCTCACTAACCAGAGTAGGAAGACAGAGCCAACACTGGAATCTGAAGAAGTGGGAAGCAATATTATGGCATGTCACTTAGCACAGGGAAGTAAACAGAGGATGAAATCAAGCTAGGTGATTGTAGAGTGGCCATTCCAACTGCGAAGGAACTGTGCAAGTCAGTTGTTTCCAAAGCAAATAATATGCACTGCTGCATCATTACATTGATGCACAGCTCTAACAAAAACAAAATCTACTTATGGGGTTAGAGAGATGGCCCAGAGGTTAGAAAGTATGTTGCTCTTGCAAAGGACCTGGGTTTGGTTCCCAGCACACACATGCTTTCTCAAGACCATCTGTAACTCCAGTTCCAGGAGATTCAACCCCTTTTCTGACCACCCTGGGCAATGGGCATGCACATGGTGCACACACATACATGCAGGCAAAACACCCAGACACATAAAATAAATCTAAAGATACACAATCTAATTTACAACAAAAATAAAACATGGGGGAGGGGATCAGCCTCAATAATTACAGAAACAGGTTTTAAAATATCACTTTGCACCCAGTTAGACTCAACAACAGCAAAAGTCGATAATACTGACAAAAGCCAGATGTCATTTGCAGTTCAGGACAATAAGACTAAACATATAAATGTACAAAAGCCTTCTGGATAGTATGTGTCAGAAATCTTACTAAGAGACACATCCTCTACCCAACACAGTACTCTGGGGAATATATTGGTCAGTAAACAAGCACAAGTTATTATAATAGTAAAAATCAGCAAAATGGGAACTGTACATTTGGTTAAAGCTCTTTTCCTGGGGACGGGGGGGGGGGGACATTTTTTTCCACATTATCTCAGAATACAAAATGTTAATAAGCTCTCCTTCAGTGCAAGTGCAAATAGTAAGTAAACAGAATGATGCTATATAGTAACCAAATGCACACTAGTTGTTCAGATGTTACAACAAACTAATACAAAGATTAGTCTGAGATAAGCATACACATGTGGTCATCAGTTTCCCCTCCTACTCTCATGATCAGCTTTGACACAACAAACTCACACCTCTACCGAAGGGAAGAAAGTGAGTGCCCAGAAATTAAAGTCAAGCCCACCGAGCTCCAGGAATGCTATCAGAGCTGCTAAACATTTCCTTCCAAGTCAGCAGAGGAATGTTTTCCTAAGATCTCTTTTACAGTGGGCCTTAATTCCCACTACCAGCCCAGGACTGTCAGCAGATATCTGACACAAGAAGTAAAAGTTTTAAAGTGTATAAGAAAGAACAGAACAGGAAGAGATGTGGGTAGGAGCTGGTGTCAATAATCTAAAAAACATGGGCAAGCCACAGTTTATGAACCTATACTCTGCTCACTATCAGGCTAAGAACTCTACAAGGGAAAAGCCAATTATCTAATAGAGGTCACTCTGGAACTGAATGAACCTACATCCTGTTTTCTAGAAAGAATGATCATATACTTCATTTAAAATGACCAAAACAGTTATACTCAGTCAAGTGGTGGTAGTGCACGCCTTTACTCCCAGCACTCGGGAGGCAGAGGCAGGTAGCTTTCTGAGTGTTCAAAGCCAGCCTGGTCCACAGAGCTAGTTTCAGGGCAGCTAAGGCCATACAGAAAAACCTGTCTTGGCAAGGGGAAGGGACAATTTAGCAAATAAGTTTCCATAATTCCCTTATACATGCCCCATCCTTGTGTGTCTCTCTGGGAAGAAAATCTTATCACTATTAATTTATTCTAGAAATAAAGTAGATTAAAGGCCCAACTACCCTTATAAATTATAACCAAATATGCTTCTTTTAAGAGACTAAAAGGAAATACTAGTTCTTCTACTGTTGAATTTTCAGACATTACTAATTCACGCTTCATGGTAATCACCTGTAGTACAGGGATCACTCTGCTGAAATTGTGTTTCCTGTTCTTACTTAAAACTTGCATTGTGAGAATAAAGAGTTTGTCCCAAAGCTTTTATCACAAAAACACCAAAGCCACCCTGTGCCTGTATAAGTAAGAAGTTTGGATAACTACTGAACAATGACAACTGTGCCACTCAGTTTATACCACATGCCACCATCAAATAACAATTCAAACAAGGTGTTATCACATTATTTATCCTAAAACTTTATGTTCTATTTTCATGATAAATCCATAAAAATAAGTTTATTTGGGAAAAAAATCTGTTACCAAAATAGTATGGCTATTACAATAAACATATATAAAGAAAAATTCCCTATCCTTAAAAATGAAACCATATGGAGAAATATGAGAAATGACTATTTTAAACAACAGCCCCTTTACAATGTTAGTTTACTACTCTAGTATATGGGGACATATCTCTTGGTACACATTTATCAAAGAAAATGACAACTATAGTATTTTCAGAAGCATTTTAAAAATTGACATTTCATGTCTCAAATCCCCCCCCCAAACTTTTAAGAAAAAGTATCCATTTGAACTACATTCTTTAAAAACACACATTACAACATGACTAAATTTCAAATTCAATCCCATAAAACAACACTGACAGCAGACTACCTTTCCCTTGTGAATACTTGAATAGGTGAGAAGTATAGAAAACATTATCAACATTAGAAGTACTTTACCCTTCCTTAGATAATCAGGCTGGCCTTGGAAGATGACAGCTGTTTCAGTCCTCATAGAAAACTGATCTACTCCAAGGTTTCATCATTATGTGAGAGTATTAGGTGGTACCTCATACATTCTGCAACTAACAGAAACAGAGTAGGT